AGGAGCATGAAGATATTATCAAACGTTTTGAAGTAGCACCCTAAAATTTTGATAGTTGTATTTGGATACCTTTAGGCCTGTCATTAAAAACTGAGGAAGAAACTACAGCAAAAATTAGACCTGTTTTTAACTGCACTCTAAACACTAAGGAGAAATTCTCCCTAAACTTGATTCCTTAATGTTAGATATGTAATTGATGAGGACAGTCCAGCTGATTTATACATATTTTGTGTTGTCTCTTAGGAGGCTTATGGGTTTGCAGCTTATAGTGTGCAAAACAGTCAGTCCTACTTGGTATTGGTGAAAGCTAATGTGGCACTTATGAAGCCTAAGTGTTTACCTATGCTGGAATTACTAGCCACATTTTTGGCTATCAAGTATTTGTTACCATTATTAAGTGCTTACTCCCGAATTAAAATCAGAAATATAATATCAGTAGATGCACAAGTTGTGTTGTCATGGCTACTGTCTGACAACATTAAAACCAAAAATCAGTTTATGAAGAATAGACTCAAGGACATTCAGCTAATGATTGGAGAACTGAAAGAAAAGAAGTCTTTGTCAGTAAAATTTAAATATGTCCAAGCTGACTTACTCACATGGAGGATAATCTTGGAAAATTATGGCAAAATCTAGACCTTTAAACTTCGGGACCTGAAAAACTCAGTGGAAGTCCTATAGAATGGCTATTGAGTGAGCTTCATTGTCTAATTTCAAGGAATAAATCCATTGTGCAGTCAACTTCATTAAATTGTACTGTAACTAACAATCAGCCATGGTACCCTTTGAAAAATACTAGGATTTTAATAAATTAATCTATGTAACAGCTAATATATTTAATATCTGAAATAGATTAAAAAACATGGACCAGGATCCTAGTCAAAGTGCCAAACTTTATTTGTTTAAGGTAATGCAAAAACAAAGCTTTGCAGAAGAAATTGATTACCTTCAATACATCCAAGGTAGAAAGTACCTGAATTACTGAAAAATTTGAACTTACTTATAGACCAAAGGTGGGTAATCAGTGCTAAAGGTAGAATCGGTGAAAACACTGCATATGATTATGAAGTTATCAATCCTGTTCTATTGGCTAAAGATCATGTCTTAACTAAATTTATTGATCATTGAACATCACAAAAAATGCAAACATCTTGGTATACAGTTAACTTTAAACAAAATCCTACTTTCAGGGTTTTGGATCCCTAAAGCAAGACAAACTGTCAAAAACATTATTTCACAATGTATCACATGTCAAAAATTTAATAATCTAGCTTTCAAATATTCTAAAGTTACAAATCTCCCTAAATACAGTCAACCTCTTTAAAATACTTCTAGATACTGGTATTGACTACACTGGACATGTCTGGGTAAAAAGTAACCACAGTGTTAGTAAGATGTATATGCTTATATTTACTTGTCTTAATATTAGGGCAGTAGATATAGAATTAGTTAAAGACATTCTGGCTTTAGTTAGATTTATGGTATCTCATGTTTACAGCGATAACACCAAATCTTTTATTGCTGGTTGCAATCTCATGGAGGATGTTTTCACTTCCAGTGAATTTAATGAACACTTTCAAGTATATTTGGTATCCTCCTCCTTCATCCCTCTCCCTTTTCAATGAAGAGGATCTTGGCGGAGGCATATCTTCTACCTCCATGAAGAAGTTCAATTGTGGCAACTCTTTTTGCTGCTGCTGATCCGGCTGCTGCTAAGAGAGCTCCTACTCTGATTGCTGCTCTGGTTGTTGCTTTACCAGCTGCTGCACCTTCTTCTGCTGATGTTGCCACTGTTGCTGTGGTTGTTGCTCCTCTCCTCAACCACCTCCATCCATTCACCAGGACCATTGGAAGGCCTCTTTGCTGCTTCCACCCTGGGCCGCTCTGGTGTTGGCTGTGATGTTGGTGCTGGATTCCTAGTCACACCCAGCTTTGCCAAGTGCCCACCTGCACCACAAATCCAGCAATAGGGGCAGTAGCTTTCTACAACCACAAAAATGTTCCTGCCACTGCAAGTTATAATATTGGGAAACTCATTAATCTTGAGCTGGGTCAATGTCACCAAGACTTCAAAGTCACTGGTGGCAATGCCCAACTTGTTTTTGATTGAGAATACTCACTCCACCGGTCCATAGGATAAAAAGAAGGCCCTCAAATGGTCCTCAGTGATATACTCAGGCACACCATGTAAAGTTATCCAGGTTCCTATTACTCAATCTGGAGCCTCACCATCTTGGTAGTGAGGATGCTCCTGGCTAATGTCTTTTCCACCGTTGCCAGCAGGATGCCTCACATGGCGTAGGATCTCCTAGCCAACACTTTGGCCCCTATATTCAAGGTTTTTAGTGCCTCTTCCATTGTCTCTTTCCTGGCAACCATAAATTTTCTTAACTTGATGTCAGCCATCAAAAGGGAGATTATATGTCTCCATGACTGAAAGCATAAGCAAAAGTTCATTTGCTGAGATGAAATCCTTATATTCATCTCTTAGGACCATATAATATTCTGGCCCTTTTTGAGACCTATCTGCCATCCATGCCAGTGTCAATTGTTTGGTGGGCATTGATTCATTTTGCTGGGGAGTCTTGGCCATTAAGGTCCTAAAACACAAAAAAACAAAAAAAAACTCCAAGAAGGTAGAGTGTAACAAATACACAAACAATTAGAACATGCAAAAAAAAACAACAGTGACAAATGTAACAAAAATGACACTCATAATAACAGTGCTTCAAAATAACGTACAATCCTTTCTAAAAAAACAAAATCAAAAATCCCAAGATGGGAATTGTTGCAGAAGTTTTCCCCCTTTTATAGTCAGAATGCATGCTGGGATATTTTTCTTAGCCAATAAAAGGGAACAGTTTGCGTTTTGACATGACTCCATCCAGATCTGCCTTAATACTAGATAGACATACTGTATTCACTTGGTCAACCTTGCTTTTGTGTACAAACACCAACTCCTAGTTTGTGAATTCTTTTGCCTTCTTATCAATTTAGATTTGCTTTAACTATATTGTTTGCTTGCTTGCATGATTGTTGCTGTTTCATCCTTTTTACCATTTTTCTTTTCATTGTAAACTTTATTAATTCTGATCATGTTATTTATCTTGCAATTTAACAATGGCTTCCAACTCATCATGCCTACTCACAAAAACAAAACAGCCTATGATCTGCCACAATTTATATCAGGACAGCCAGTAAGATTTCAAAACAAACACTGGTAACAATTTATTGTACTCCCAAAATGTGTAAAACCATGCTCATATATCTTGGAAACTCCAGATAGCACACACATGAGATACAATAGAATATAGGATAGTGGAAGAGCCACACAGAATCATGTCCACTTTAAGGAACCCTACTGCTTCAATGAAAACAACTACCATCCTGTGAGGAAGGAGCAATCAGTGAAACTAACAGTCATAGCACTAATACACATGCCAATAGTGTTATACCAAAGGATCACAGCACAAACCATATCCCAGACAAAAGGACAGTGATGACAACCAGAAGCACATGTGAAATACACAGGTCAGTAAGATACAGAATGGACAATAAGTAGATTTGCAACAGTTTTATCTACCTTATATTAAATTCATTACACACCCACACAAATATATTAAAATATATTTAACAATAACACCTCCATTTACAGACTGACTCATGACAAGACAACTTTCCTTATATTAAGGCAATCACCTAATAGACACTGACAGTTATTCTCTTTGGACAGTAAGAAAAAACATAATCCCAGTCATTTTCCACATAACAATGTTCTATTTATTAGTAAAGGAAATGTAACATTATACTATGGGAAAGAACAAACTAGGAAAAAGGCAATGAGAAATTACTTCACTATCTTTCCCAAGAATGCAGGGCAATTTGCAGATAATAAAGAAATGTAATCTGTGGAGAACCAGTTTCTCCTACATTCTGAAGGAATATAGTATTTAAAAATGAATCCTAGCAGACAGCTCTTTTGGTTCTGTTTATGCAGCTTATTGGGAGGAAGGTAGAGGTACAAAGTTTTTAGCTAATATGTAATATGTAAAAAAACAATATAAGATGTAACTGACTGAAGAGTCAAATGTATAATTGAAGCAATCAGAATATGTATTCCTTAAGGAGTTTCAGGAAACTATATATTATAGGGAAATTCCAGCAAAAATTCCCTGTTGTGGTAATAAAGACAGGATAGACTAAGCTCTCCTTTTTTTGGCTCATATGTTTATTTTCTTTTGCAGGTTAGCTTTTATTGATCCCAAATACTGTATTATTTATTTATTTAGAATTATTTTCATTTGATTTTCTTTAAGGGCACATGTAGGCCATGTTATTTTAGTTTCTGAACTAAAACTTTTTCTACTGCTTGAAATATTCATGTTAACTTCTCAAGAGAAAAATTTTTACAGTAGTTCATGCAAGCATTTTTATTTCTCAGAAATGTTCTTCTTTTAAAATTCTTGCATTTATTCCAAAGTTGTAATGGAGTGATTCATTTATACATGTTTGTCTAGACAGCAATAGAACCTTGCAACTCTCAGTGGTAGATTGTATAGTTTTAGTTTCGCATCAACATTTTCAAATAGTATTTTATAATTATGGTTTAACATAGTTCAGTATTTACTCGTTTCAATTAGAAGCTTAATTTTCTTACCAGATTATAGTTCAAATATATAAAGATATACTATGATTATTTGCAAAGTGATATAATAGTGTCAAGATAACTAAGTGATAACGGAAAAAAGAGCAGAGAGATTCAGGTTAATGCTTTTTCTAATTAATTCTGTTAGAGATTGTAGAGGGCTAAATCACTATGTTGTTTTTGTTACCACCTAAACAATGTTTCAAAATTCTTGCTACAATTTTTAAAAGTTTATCTCTTCACAATTGTTTGGAACAAATTTACAACTTGTATTAATGTTGTATAAGGTTTTCAGTAATAGAATATTAACAAATCATTAAATATTCCAAAATGCTGTAACAAATTCATAACATACCTTTCAATGTCTGCAACATACATTGTCTGAAATCTCCAAGGTGTAAACAACTTTTGAGATCCATTTTTATTGAATAAGATTCCCAGTTTGGTCATGTCAGTCAATATTTGTCGAACTACTTCGCCCAAGTACAAACCAGAAAATAATTTTTCAAATCTGAAGATGATAAATAAGGTTTTTAGATTTTTGGAAGGAAAGAAATCTTTTTCCTAAAATAAAGCTTAAAAATTCACCAAATATGCTCAAGACTATTTCATTTTCCATAAGACTATATCTCATTATCAATCAAGTGCAACGATACTTATCTGAAATTTAATTGAAAAAAATTAAGAAATATTTTAGAAGCTAATGAGACTTTAAAAGAATTGTAACATTATTTTTATTCTTTATTATTTCCTATAAAAGTTTAGTGTCATTATATATATATATATATATATATATATATATATATATATATTAGATACATTTATAAAATGACATTTTTGTGTGTGTTGGTATGATTATGTCATTCATAGAAATTATATAAATGATTTAGATGTAATGAACACAACTTCTGAAGGATTAAATGAAAAGAATTGAACATGTTCTATGTTCAACAGTTTTGTTATGCTTTTATGATGCTGTTATTTTGAGTTCAGTTCACTCTTAAGAGTCACAATATCACAACCCATCACCATCTGCTCTTAAAAAGGGTCAGCAAACTCTCTAATATTCCAGAAGTCCTCCATAAAAAAGAAAAGAAAAAAAAAGCATCTAGTTGCATCACATTGTGGACATACGAACAACCCACAAGAAAACTAAAAAGTAAAATTATGAGGTGAAAAAAAATCCCAAAACAAGAAGTTTATGTTTTTTTATTAAAAAGTGTAAAATAAAATGACACTTGTTTTAGAAATTGACTGAAAAACTAAATATAATTTTTACCATGATGATCATCAAATACAGTTTAAAAAAAAAATTTTACAGAGCCCAAATTATCCTATAAGGATTTTTAATCAGTAGAAAAGCTAAAAGATAGCAAAATGCCTTGTTCCTTCAACAACTGTTGTTGAAGGAACAAGGCATTTTGCATAAAATATTTTGAGTGAAATGACATCTTTTATGCTTTCTAGATTTAAAATTAAAACGTAGTATCTGATTTTTTTCTTTTTAAGAAGATTTTTTGTTATTCTTATTAAGCATTATTTTTTCTTGAAATTTTTTCTTTAATATTTAATATGAATTCACTGAGCATTTATGCTAAGATGGCAGACATTTAAGTAAATGTATTTAGATGTTTACCATTTTGGAAGTGATGAGTTGTTCAATTTTTTTATTTAATTTTTCAAAGTTATTTTCATTACATCTAAATCATATCTATATAATTTCTATGAATGACATAATGATATCAACACACACAAAAATATTTTTGAAATTTCTTATTTAAAATACATATCTAAACACATGCAATTACCAAAAACTTTAATTTTACAGTAATTCTTATTATTTTGACTTGTAGTTATTATGAGATCATGTGTACAAAGAAGAAAATCACAGGTTTGCAATGTCAACACATTGCAAGGATTACTTTAACTAGGCATGGAAAAAAAATGATAGTTAAGAGGAGCAATGAAAGACAGATAAATTAAAAAAAAAAGTTGTTCATAAGACAACATACATACGTGAATGAATTTATATGGTTTGAAAGTTTATCTACATTGTAGTCGTATTTGTTTCGTAAAAAGTCCAAGCATCCAGTATCAGAAAGGCCACCCCACTCAACATTGATCATTACCTAAGAAAAACAGATAATGTATTTCTTTAAACCAATGAGATATGTAGATTTATGCAATTAAATAAATGATGATTGTTATATATATATATATATATATATATATATATATATATATAATTTCAGATATAACTACAATATGTAATACATAAATTTATCCCATGCTAAAATAATTTAAATATTAATTGTATAAAAAAACATTCAACATCAGTTACTCACTTTCATTTATTAGACATTAAATTACATCACTTAGCATCCTCTATAATTTACCTAGACTTTTCAATTAACCTGATGAATATTTGTGAGTATCTCTTAAATTTAAAAATTTTGAAAAACTAACAAAAAAACAACAGAAAAACTTATCTTGGTCAATGCATTTCATCCTCTAAGTATTTATAAATAAAAGTAAAAGTTTTTCTGTTGTTTTTATTCATATATATATATATATATCACACTTGTTAGAAGATGATTGGATCTTAACTGAACCCTCAGTTTGAATAAACAAGTAGGTGTGTAATTAATACAAGCCAACTCCAAACATCAGCAAGAGTATAATCCAGGTTTCTTTGAATAACATATATTTAAGTACTTTTCAAGTCTGACAAATACTTATTTATGAGACACCAAAAGATGACCGGAAGTTATGAACGTATCAAAAGGCATTAGAAATTGGTTTTATTGTTACACAGATTTTCGTAAACAAAAATTAGTCTTAAAATTATACGATAAGTAATAAGTAAATTTATTTAAAAAATATTTAGATACAAAAGATATTGTTATCTTTAGAAAAATTTGATTAAAAATTAATCTCCAGACAATCTTCATGCAAAAAATAATGTCTACTTACGAAAAATGTTTTTGGAAAAGAAAAAAGAAGAATAATGAAACAAACACCAAACACCTCCTCCTGCCAACATAGGACTTAAAAGAGGAAATTTTGTTTGTTTTGATTTGGTGTTTGTTCCATCTCCTTTCAGGATTTGTTTCTTTCTATGTGCCGTGTCCTTTCAGGACATAGATGATCATGGCTCTCCACCTCCCTCTACTCTTGCAGCTCTCAACAAGTTCCTTCCCTCTGCCACCTCCCCCAGACCACATTCTGTCATCCACTTGCTTAAGGTCACCAGGTATGTGATGCTTTGTTTTCCCTTGTCTCTCTTTCCCCCTATTCTCCAGGCCCTCCTTTCTCATTATGTGCCCCAAAAACTTCAGCTGCCTCTTCCTGATGTTAAGTATAAGCCTCTTCCTTGTTTGCATCCTCTCTAAGACCTCACTCAGTCCATGATATCCTTAGCATCCTTCTGTAAAAACACATCTCTGTTGCCTCAAATCTCTTGTTCATCTTTGAGGAAATTGTCCAACATTCACTGCCGTAAAGAAGGACAGATGTCACAATACAGCTCTATTCTTTTCTTCATTACCAAAGAAATCCTCCTGTCTCACAATACTCTGCCCAAGCTTTTGGAATGCATCCTTGGCCATCCCAATACATCTATGGATCTCAGTATCACATTTACCATCCTCTGCTAGAACACTTTCCAGATATTTAAACTTCCGAGTCTGCTTGATTCTAGTATTCCCAACCTGCAAATTGCATTTCAAGCTCATCCTCTGTTTTCTTGTAGTTTATGCTTAGTGCCTTCTTCACACTCTCCATCACTACCTTCTGTAGGAGATTTTGTAATTTCTTTTCTGTGTCTGCTATCAGTACTGTGTCATCTGTGTATCTTATGTTGTTAAGGTTGTGGTCGCCAATGCTAAATCCCAGTAGAGTTTTCAATTCTCTCAGAATTGCCTCGCTGTATAGGTTGAACAGGTTGGGTGAGAAGATGCATCCTTGCCTTATGTCCATTTCTATTTTTGTATATTCACTGAACTTGTTCTCTATACGCATGTATGCTGTTTGCTGCCAGGTTTGGTTCTTGATTATTTTGATATCTTTCCCGAATATATCAAGGTTGCTGGGCAGTTCCAGCAGATCCTTATGGCGTACTTTGTCGAACGCCTTTACATAGTCTATAAAACACATATACAGGTCCTTCTGCATTTGTATCACTCTTTCTGATAACATTCTGAGCATGACTATCGCATTCCTTGTTCTGGTGTCTTTAACAAACCCGTCCTATCTCTGGCCCGATTCTGCTGTGTGCTCTATTCATCAGAATACGGATGATGAGTTTTGTTATGTGGCTCATTAGGCTGATTGTTCGGTGGAGTTCACATTCGTTTGCACCTGGTTTCTTAGGTTCTATAAAGATAGATCTGCTGAGGTCTTCTGCCATATCCCTGCTGTTGTAGATTTCATTTGTTATTTCACTAATCTTGTTTCTGCCAAAGTCATCTAAGGCTGTCAGTATTTCTGTTAAAATTCCTTCTGGCCCAGCTGCCTCGTTTCTGTTAAATTTGGCCAGTGCTACTATTACTTCAGTTTTCAGATTTCCAGGTCCATTTTCAAGACTTGGAGTGACTCTATAGGTGATTTGGACAGTAGGTTGTTTGTCTGGTTATGCATAACATATATATTTTCTGTGTGATTCCTATTTCCAAATCTTAGTTTTGCTTTTGTTATTTGCCCTTTAATTAAATGGGTTAGTTAAAACTAACCCATTTAATTAAAGGACAAATAACTGATTTAAGACTTTGTATCATCCTATTTAGGACCCCTAAATTCACTACTTGTTTTTTCTCGCTGCAACTAATTTTCTACCATTGGCATCTTTTAATTTTGCCTGTAAATTTGTGGCAATAGCATAGTATTCCTACAAGTCCTCAAAGTCTTTCCAGTTTTCAACAATGTCTCCTTTCAGTGACATAGCAGCAGGTGTTGAGATTACTCCCAATGTCCTGTCTTTCAATCATCATATGCTTGTTATTTTTTTTAAAGATAATTATGTAGCTTTCTTTGTGATTTACTTGAAATAAAGCATTAAAGTGGTCATTTTAAAAGTATTGCCAGAAGATACCACAAGGTCAAAACTGTGGTCACATATTTTAATTGACCTCCTGATTTTTAAACTTAAAAGCTCTACATGTTATTTTTAGTTTTACTTATTTTTTTTTCACACATAGCAATTTTTAATACTACTGTTCCCTGGTCTGATTCAACTCTGACCATTAACCATTATATATATATATAATATATATATATATATATATATTGGAAAACATGTTCTAAGAATGTTTCCATTGTCTCACAAAACAAATCAATTCACATATTGAAGGTGACAGCTGCTATTCGTGACCTGGTAAACAAACTTTGCTTTCATGGGGTCATTCTAGACAATTACCCCTCATATAAACATAAATTGATGAGCATTCCAAAAAAGAAAAAGGAAAAATATTCAAATTCTGATTAAAGAAACAGATTAAGTCATATCTGTTATCATTAATAAAAATGTTGTAAGATTTTTTCCTGAGAATTACATTGCTCAAATTATACTCAAATTCTTACTGAATTGGTTATTGTAAACAAAACTAGTTTTAGTAAAATATGCATGCAGAATGAAAAATGACTTGGTGATTTTTTTTAATCATTAGCATCAAATTCTTTACATATGATTTCATATAGTCAGCTACCTGACCAGATGTAAAATTAATTAGTTACTGTAGATATTTAGTAGCATTTTATTAAACATTTTATATCAAAGTTAGTAAAATACCTGAATTTTTACAGTGGACCTTTGATTTAAATTGTTTGTTTTAACAGTTCTTGATTTAATGTACATTGTATTTTGTAAGCAAGTTAAGTTAATGTGCATCTGAAATTAAATTTTAAATCTTTTTATGAAGATCCTAGATTTCATCATAGAAAAAAATATTCTTAACATGAAACAAAGATTTGAAAGATTTTAAGTGTGCAATGTTTATATTTCATTTTGTTTTGGTCCTCACTTGTATCAAAGTTTTTGCAGTGTGACAAAAAAAAAAGAAAATAGATTTTACAAGTCATTATGTCTCTCTTCTATTGCAAATTTGGTTTCTTCAGCTAAATCAGCCCAATATTGTAAGATTAAAATTTACAAGTGGTTCAAGTTCCTCAATCTGAGCCAATATCAATTACTCCACCATGACTAACTGTTTCAGTTTTAGAAATAACATTTATAGATAATGAATTTACTATATATTATAACAAATTTTATTACTCTTAGGTGACTGAGGGCCAGATAAGACGTTTATTTTTTTGAGAAAATTTTTACCCCACCATTAAGTTTATTAAGACCACCACTTTTATTAATTTTTTACTTTTCAAGCCTTTAAATAATTTTCTGAAACCCCTTTTATTAAGATCCCTCCATTAATAGAATATTGAGAAAGTTTTGACGTCCCTGCATTATTAAGAACACCCCCTGTATTAAGCAATTAAGAGTAGTCTGGCATTTTTTCAATCTTACTCAACCTAATGAATTAATTATTTAATGCTCTTTGTTTCTGAGAACAAATTTCTTGCTATATTTTTTGATTAGTCCACATATGAAAATAAAATATACAAAAAGATGATCCTGCAAACCAATTAGAAAGATAAAGAGAAAAGACAAAGTTTGAAAATCAGTATGTGTTTGATTGTAATGACCCAGTTTTTAAATTGCTAAAAGTATGGACAGGGATATAAGGATCAAATTAAAGAACAATTTTACATTCTTAAATTGCTATCTACAAGGATGTGCTGAAAAGTTCTTAGCCTGGTCCACTTCGTAAAACTGATCAAATGAACATCAAGCAATATTTTGTGAATTCCTTCTTGCTTAAGACAGGAATTTTTCAGCACTTCCTCATAAAAGTTAATTCAATTCCAAATACACCAATTCATATAAGTTACTTCAATTCTGCAAGATACAATATAATTGATACCTTATAAAAATGTACACTTACTTGTTTTGAGCAGTCATTATCATCTTCCCATTTTTCAATAGAATCTACATTTTCAATATAGCAGACATTACTTCCAGTTCCTAAGACGTAAGGAAAATAAAAAACTGCATTAAAAGAATTTAAAATTATCATCAAGTTTAATTTTTTCTGTTAATTGAAATAAATATTTCTGTAACATGAGTGAGATTTAGATGAAATACTATTAAAATATCACAATATCTTTGTATTTATTTACATTATTTACATGTGGACTATCATCCCCATCTTTGTTGGTGTTATCACAATGTTTCAGTCATTGTGTCCTCAGGTATATGTTGATACAGGTAACCTACAGGAAATTTTGAAGTGAACTCTTTATTTAATTTACAGATTGTCCCCATTCAACATTTTTCATTGGATGAACATCTCTTTTCACCACTTTGTTGAGTGATGCTAGATTGACACAAATCCTAACATATCCATCATGTAAACTGATATCTTGTCTGGTTCTTAATTAGTACTGTTCAGTTATAATTCACCCCATTTCCACTGAGTTCAAGTACACACTACCAAGCCCATAGATTGAACTCACAATTACTATGTTACACAATTCACAAATCAATTGTCTAGTGGATTTTTCAAGCCTATTTTATTTTTATTAAAAATATTTAATAAATTTTTACCCATAACCTAATTCTCGGCATCTTACATAGTTAATGGCAAAAGATTTCATCTTTCTATATATTTTTGCATATCAACTTCAGCAAACATTTTGATAAAGAGTCAGATTGGACTTATAAACCAAAACAAACTTTAAATAAAACTATCAATAGTGGTAGTGAAAACTTTTCAGCTGAATACATTTCTCAAATATTTGATTAATTAACCAAACATTCCTTGAACATTTCTTGGTCAGATTGAGAACTTTTAAGCATCCACTTATATAAAGCTAATATAAAACTATATTTTAATCATTTATTTTAAACCATATTGAAAAGTATTTTCCATTATAAATAATATATAAACATAATATATAAAACTGAATTTGTATAAGTGTATCTGCTCAAAACCCTGAAAATTAAAATTGAGACATGGAATAAATGTCATTTTATTGTTTATGTTTAATATCATGTCATATATATATATATATATATATATATATATATATATATATATTTAGTGTATGTATGCAATACATGTACTGCATGCCTTACTTCCAGGATAGATAATTTTTGTGTGATATAAAATTAATTATTGATGATTTTCACTATCCTCATTGTACTCATGATATTTTTTCTCATTCCTTCATTTCTGAGGATAAATTGTAAACAAGTGATTTTATTTAAGAAGTGTGAGTAGAGAAAGCTCCTGTTTGTTTAGCAAGAAAAGGAGAAAAAGCAGTAAATTGTTTTCCTGTTCTATTCATTTTTAACAAGGAGCAAGAAAGAAAAAGAAGAAAGAGAAAGAGGTCAAAGAGAGAAAGGCTGAGAGGAGCAATTTTTTTGCTGTTTGCCTTTCAGGTTATAAATCATATTATTGCTCTTAAATATTTTCTAAATGCCTATTTTCCATTTCTATGAGGAAAGATCAGAGTTCTTATTCAAAGAACTTAAAGCTTTCCTCACAGGTTGGAAAAAATAGGCATCAAGAGAAAATATATTAAGAGCAATAATATGACTTAATATGGCTGAAAGGCAAACAGCAAAAAAATTGCTCCTCTCAGCCTTTCTATAAGTATATATAGAATGTCTGGTGATCCTAATGTCATATCAGAAGATATTTTTTACTGCTTTTTAAAAAGAATTTAACCCATCAAGTGGTATTCTTGTTCCCTTCTTAAGATCCAGATTCAGTCATGTGACCACTAGCCAGAATTTTTTTCCTGACCAGTTCACACATAGAGTGAAAAGGAGCATTATTTTTTAGTATTAAAAAAATAAAGTTTTCATCTATTTATCTATTTCAATGCTTTAAAGTTTAATTTTAAATATTTAAAATTATTTTTTTTAAAGTTACGTAAAAAAGTAAACTAGCACCTAAATTATTTGTTAGAATAAATATTTGGTTCATTTAAAATAATTTATAACCCAGTAACATTTTTCATGCTTTCATTCACTTACAGGATAGCAAAAAATGTCAGTTAGCTCAGTTTCCTCTCTACTTTTCCAACTTTTTGCAACAAGAAGCTTCAAAGAGAAGACAAATATGATCATTCTCGGAAGAGAGAAGCCAAATCTTGAACTGAAAATCAAAACCAAAGTGAACAGCAAGGAATGTCATCATTATTTTGATTCCAAGTATTATGAACAGTATGAGGGGATCACATGATGTTCTATTCTGAGCAAATTGTTCTGTTTCTCATGTTTTATATTGTCAACAAGAGCTACTGGCTGCTGCAATTTGAACAATTTGATTACAGCTTTGAAAAGATACCCAAATATCTCAGAACCATTTGAATTCCATAATTACTCTGAAAACCTTTTGAAGAAGGTGAAGGTAGAGAGTGGTGCTGATACATTTTATAGCAAAGTAATCAATGAATTTGCAAAAAAGAAACAGAATTGAACTGATTTACAAATAAATTTTAAATATCTCATTATTTGTAGATTTTATTATTTTCTCACATTTTTGTCATAACTAATAACAGTCATCATGACAGGCCTATCCTGTCTCCAGGGTATTACTAATGGGACAGACATGCACACACGCACACACACATGTATGAGAATGTAATAGAACCTACAAATCATGAGATATTTCAATTTTAGAAATCTGTTCAATTCTTTGTTTCTTTTTGCAAAATTCATTAATCAATTTGCCACTGATATATATATATATATATATATATATATATATATATATATATATATATATATATATATTACACTAATGAAGATCACAAATTTTAATATTCAGCATTACAAATCAAATTTTTAAAAACAACTTTTTTTAATTCAAATATTGTTTTGTTACTGTTATCATGTTTGAATCATTGAAAAATTTGCTCCTTTTCAAACTTCTTTTAAGGTTTGGAAACAGGATATATTCAGAAAGACTGGTAAGTAAGGTGGATGGTCTATGGACTCAGACTACAAATTCTTCAAAACATCCATCATTTTTGCATATGCTATTTTGTCATTAAAAGATAGTTTTCATCTATTTATCTATTCCAATGTTTTAAATTTAATTTTAAATATTTAAAATTATTTTAATTAAATGATTTTAACTGCATTGTCTAATAAAAAAAAATAATTACTTTTTGCAGCTTCCTTCACTATTTTTCTTTCAAAGTTTTTGCTGACTTTTGGGTTTTGAATTTCTTTATAAACAACCTGGCTCTTTACAGTATAAAAGAACATGCTTTCCAGTGACAAAATAATGCTCAGATCTTGGGAAGGGGGGTGCTCAGTAAAAATGGCAACGGTAAAAATGGCAAAAGTGGATAAATAGGAAAAAATGGCAAAAGTGGATAAGTAGGAAAAAATGGCAATTCAACAACAGAAAATTATGACCGTTCGAGAAGGATGGGTCTAAGCTCCGATCCCTCTAGTTTAAAATAGGGCTAAGTCCCCCACTCAATATTTTAAAATAAATATTTTTAAATAGATATTTACTCTAGTGGTGGTGGGGGGTAGCTAGGCTCCTTCTCCTCTTGTTTTAAATAAGGGCTAAGTACCCACTCCTAGTATTGAAAACATTTTTTTTAAATTTTCGATGTTGATTTTTAGAAGTTTTATGGGGGGGGAGGGCTAGGTTCCTGCTCCTAAGTGCAATAAAAGCACAAATCGTGTTTAAGTGAATTTGATGACTATAATTAATTTTATAATTGATAGCTGACATTAGGATTAGATGTGTAAGTGTATTAGTGTTTTTATATACATATATATATGAAGAAAAATACAGAAAAAAACAAACAAACATCTTAATATGCAATTATGCTGTATTAATGTTAATATAAAGTCGACGTCGGACGTTTCGGTCTATTTAAGACCATCTTCATGGACATTTTCATTTAAACATAATTAACATTAGAACATATAAAAATTTAACACAAAAGACGATGGACATAAGAGCACAACTAATCCAAACAGATAACTGAAATTTTTATATAAGATCAGCGTTTTTGCTTATATATATATATATATATATATTTCGATAAACGTGCAATCAATTTACAAATTCATGAATTATTCACACAAAAACAAATGCAAAGGTTAATGATTTAATTGGCGAGAAATCCATCGTCGCAAACAATTCAAATAATATACAAAAACCTCCGAATCCGTTATTCCATACCTGAAGTTGTCTGTAGGAACAGACGAAAGCTTGTAGTAAAAATAAGAACTAATGCGGCAGAAATTTATAGAAACAAGGATCTTTTCATTCATAACGGATTCAGAGGTTTTTGTATATTATTTGAATTGTTTTGCGATGATGGATTTTCGCCAATTAAATCATTAACCTTTGCATTTGTTTTGTGTGAATAATTCATGAATATATATATATATATATATATATATATATATATATATATATATATATGAGTGTATTAGTGTTTTTATATATATATATAAAATAAGTGTATTAGTGTAGTGTATTAGTGTATACATATATATATATATATTAGTGTTGGGAGGATTAATCAGAATCGGGGGGGGGGAATCAAGGTTAGGAATCCCATTTACAGATTTGGTATTGACTCTCAGAGTCTAATTTAATTATTTTATTGGTAAATTATGGTAAAGGAAGTAAATATTCTAGAGTTCACTTAGACTATTCCTCAGCAACCCTTTTTTCTGTTCACACCTATTTGCTAAATGTCTATATGACACCTCTCAGAGACTTCACACTTGAGTATTAAAAGATTGAAAACACATCAGACAAGATTTTAAATTTTATTGGCACCAGTCTGACCCTATTGTTGTCTGATAGCCTCTGAAATAATTAATGTTTTATTGTTTTGTTTTTTTTTTCCGGTTTCATCAAGTGGATCTATAATTGTTTTTTTCCCAAAGTTTTTCAGTGTGTTCAGATGTAATCACCTAAAAGTAAAAATCTCATGGGAGGGGGGCTTTAGCTGAATATTCTTTTAATTTGACAAACTTCTCATTTTTTTCCATTATGCATTATGTATCCAAGATTTTAATAAACTCATTGTGAGATATTCATCTATATTTTTTTTCCTTTTGCCATTTTTTTAATTTATCCACTTTTGCCATTTTTACCGTTGCCATTTTTACCTATTTATCCACTTTTGCCATTTTTACCATTGTCATTTTTACCGCTGCCATTTTTACCTAAATTCGGGAAGGGGATTAGGCCATAGAAAAATGAATCCTATGAAGCTTTTAATCCTCAGAATATTATCCATGCTTATTATCCAGAAGATAACATTAAAGATGACGCAAACATCACATTTTTATTGTCTAAGATATTTACACCTGTGTAAAAATTGACTCCAGTCTCTCAAGACAAAAATCACAATTTTTAGTTCCAAAAATGGACCATGAAAAGATAAATAAGTATACTGATTAAAATAATGTTTCATCAATTAAAAAGATTATAGATCCACAATATAATAGCTTCCTCACTGATAAGCTCTTGGTTGAATAATTTTTAATGCATTTTCAGTTGAATTTTGTTTGAATACCATTTATGCATTTTCAGTTTGTAATTAATAAACAAAATAAAAGCAGAAATCAACTTGCCTAAAATCAGGCCAATTGTACACTTTTTATCCAAAAAGTTTCCAGTGATTAGAGCAGCTGTTGTATCGCTTATGATAGCTACCAACTTTACAGGAAGGTTCTGAGAAGAGAGAAAATACCACCAAAAATTTAATTATTAAAAGATAAATACATATACATGAAGGTGAGTAAAAATGAGCAAACATAAAAAAAATCTATAAAACAAAATAGAAATATTTTAGGACAAATAATGATAGAAGACTTTAAATCAATGACAGATTAAATATAACTCAATAAAAAAGACTGACCTTCTTTCAAGCAGGTCCATCAATATCTGACCTTGGTCTAGACCAGGCCCATCAGTGCATTTAAAAGTTTTTGTCCAGTTGATTAGTTTAACATGAGTTAAATTTTTTTTTTCCGAAGGAAAAGAAAAGGTAAAACCTTCAAAAGAGGGAAAAATTCAGAATTTTAATTAAAAGTTAAAATGTCATCAACACTAGGTATCCTTGAAAAAGGAACCATACAAAAGATACATGGCCTAGTGGTTCTCTGATAGTTGTGTGTTCAATTTGTGTGTCTGGTAGTGCTGAAAAGTCATATACTCTGATTCAGGGGAAGAAATGTACAAGTGACACACAGATGAATAAGACTGGCTTTAACTGGTATGAAATATCCTTCAAGCATGCTAAGTTGAATGGGAATAATATATTCCTGTGGATTATTAAATCCAGCTTTGGTTCAAAATTCAAAGAAGTTTACTAAGTAAAAAAATAAAATAAAAATATACATAATAAAAAAAATTCTTGAGGTGTCTGTAGCTGAAGAATTTTATTTTATTATGCATATTAACTTTTAATACATTTTAATGTTTTTTGTAAATCTTTCTATACAAGGTTTTTTCTTGTTCTATAAAATATTTTGCTTCTTTGCTTTAAATATGTTCAACAAGATTTACATCAGGCAACAAACTTAGCCATGAAGAGTTGCATTAACACTATTTTAGATATGCTATTTTCAAATATTTTTGCTGTGTAAAGAGCTAAGAATTTTCCGCCATTTTATATATAATTTGGCTTATTTTTCCAAATTGTTTAAACTTAAGGATGAATTTTAAGTTAAAAATTTTTTGTAAATAAACTTATTTTTATAAGTCGATTTCTAAAAAACAACCCAACAACTTTTAAATTTTTTAATTCTTTAGAGATGTATTTATTTAATATGTAAAGCTATTAAATGTTAAATAACTAAATCCCAGAAGAATTTAAAACAATTTTTAAAATTTTTACTGCATCTAATTTTTCATTTTTTAGGCCACAGTTTAGGATACTGTCTTTTTAACAAGACTAAAAAGCTTAAATTTCTAAAATTTTAATTACACTTTTAGAATGGTATCAATGAAAATTCAAAATTGCATGTTCATAACTATATAAAAGCTATTACGAACTCCTTGATAAGGAGATGCTGTAAAATAAAATTAATTAACTTTATAGTAAATAAATAGTTAATAGGTCATAGTTTCTGCATTTCTTTCTTTTTTCATGTTAGTCATTTTTTCGTGGTAGTCATTTATGTAAGAAATATAACTGCATAATTTTTACTAAATTTTACTTTTAAAATCATATTTCTTGTGAAATGAAAAATTCCTCAATATTTTCTCCATATTTTACAACTTTTAAATTTCTTACTTCATCATTTGATTTAAATGAGATACAGTGATTTCTTTTCTTTCTTAGTAAACATGAATTGTATAAGAGATGAAACTAAAACTCACAATTTTGATGCTATTTGATGTTTTTTTTTTTTGCTATTTCTTAATGATAGATTTAATTTTTTAATACACTGTTGTAACAGTATGATTTCTCATGTATCTTTAGAAGATAAGGAGATAAATTCCTTCCTTTTAACTTCACTCAGCTATCTGAGTTTCGTAGGAATTCTGTCTCCAGTCCAGCTTTGAGTAAAGTGTCAGTGCTTTCAGGATTCATGTCTCCAGTTAACCTATGAATTAGGAAACATAAAAATTTTATCAATGATTTTAGATCATCATAAAAGTAGTCTTTTGAAGATTTGACCACCCATGTGGTTTCTGGAACACAAGTGGATGGAGTGGGTGTGATTCCAAGAGTCTGCATATAAGTAGAGAGAGGCAGGAAGTCGGGGGGGGTGCAACTGTGAAAGAAGTAGGTAGGTGACCAGTGGCCAGTGACAGAAGAATCGGTAGTGAGAAATCAAGAGTTGCAGAACTCAAAGGCTAGTGAAGTTTGGGAGATAGCAGTTCAGCTGAAGGGAAGAATAGCCGGCTAAGTGAGAAATCATATTGCTGTGAACTCTCAATCAGTGTCTTTAAAAACATTTGTCATCACTAGTATTATTTGGTGAAAGCAATCACGGCTGAGAAGACAAACCTGTGCACATAGTGAGTTAGGTGTACATGCAAATACACTCAACCTTGCAGTGAATGACGGACAATCAAAGAACACCATCACATAACTTGTCACAATTCTGTCATGAATGGCATTACATAGTTTAAAATTTTGAAGTTTTTCATCATGGGAGCAATCTTAACAATGAAATGGAAAAAATGCTAATAGATTATAATTGAAATATTTTGTTTTAAATTTACATTCAAATTGATGATTCAAATTTTTTCTCTAATCATTATACTGAGTAGATAATTTTATACATTATAGAGATTATTTTTTTGCTTTAAATCCATTCCTGAATAATATAAAATTAAGCAAATATGTAGCCAGCAAATATAAAATTGGAAAATAAGCCAAATACATATTTGAAAAGATAACTCACCTAGAGGAATATTTTTCTCATTTTCAAGATTGTCATATTTTAAGAAATCTTCAATGCAATCAGCCATGTACTCAAACACCTATTAAAATAAGAACAAAAAAATAATAATCTGAGAAAATATATTGGTAAAGGCTTCCACCTCCCCCTATCAAACAATGAAAATTTGTGGACAGATGCTACAACTTAATCTTAATGCTCTACTCAAAATTGTTTTCTTTCTAATCAAAAACGTTTTTGAAAAATTTTTTAAGCCATGAAGTTTATATGCCATTTGCATATGTAATGGTGGCCTTACCATTAACAAGACAAAAGTGTAAGTGGCCAAACAATGAATGGAGATAAAACATGATTGATATAAGTAAAAGGGTTTTGATTTTCCATGATTTACAGTGTGTGATCATTTGCTTGTTCCAGGATATTGTATCAGTTGTGAGAGACTGAGAGTTCATTTAAGGTAGTAGTTGAGATAGACACATGGAGAAAATAGACATGCAGTGTAGTAATCAAGAGTTAGTCTCTGCTGCTGCTACTGCTACGTCTGCTGGTTTCATCGCTAATGCCAGCCTTGTCAGATCTGCCTTCATAGATGAAAACAGCATTGGCTATAGTCAATCAGTGGCTCAAAACGGCTGCTGTGAAAAACATATGGGCATTTTTTTGATTGGTGAGAAAAGATGTTTTATCACCCTGGTATTTTTGGATGGTATTCCGAAAGTGAGTGCATGGATCTACACAAAACTAAGGTTTGTTTTTGTCATATGAACTGCGAACATCAAATTTAGCACTTCATTTTGAGTTAAAGAATTGGAGTTTCATATGTGCAATAAAATGTCCTGTTTTAGGAAACATTTTTATTCATTTCTATTTAAAGATTATAATCATAAAAACACAGGGCAATTATATTCCCATTATTGTATTTTTATTCATGAATATGTGTTGGTGCACAAACTTCAGAACCATACAGTAAATGAAAAATTCATAGATTTTTAATTTCAAGCTAATTGATTAAATTTAATATTTTAAAAAATAACTTTATTCCACCTGGTACATAAAGCCTTCACATAGCCACCTATTGTCTTATTGTAATTAATGCAGTTAATACTTTGTATTTATTCTTGGTTCTTGTCTATACTGTATATCAGGAAAATAAAGTTTTCACTTAATATGAGAATATACAGACACAATTTAAGAATTTGTAATTGAAAATCATTTGCTAGCCAATTCCCAATGTAATAAACTTGAATGATCTGATTTTTGTGTTCTATTTTTTCTATTATTTCTACTAAGATTTCTGCTTATAAAGATATTCTCCATTTATGAATTTCAATATCCATAAAGCACCATTGGAAATGACGAAATTTTTCAAGGATACCTTCAAAACAGATGATTTCTTAACTTCAGTCACACAGCTGTGCATTACAGATGAGATCATAAACCCAACATAAAACAGTGTCTATTGGAATAAAAATCTATTACTTTTAACTAATTCTATATTGTCCACATTATCATTCATTTTCCACACGTTTGCTACAAGTTTTATTAAATTATTATTCTTACTTCTTCTATGTGCATATAATTCAGTGGCAAAGGGTGACTTGGAAACCAGGGCATACAGTTTATGATGGCAGAGAGTATGGCAGCAGAGCTTTACTGCCACCCACCAGAAAATTATTCCAAACTCACATCTGTGAATATGATATGAATTAATTTTAATGTGAGTAAGTGCACTTCTGATCTATTATGCAAGTGAACCAAAGCTGCTTTCCAATGATTGATCGTTGTATCAATTCTTTGTTGACCGAAGATTTTCATAGTAATTATGGAATTCAAATGGATATTTGGGTATCTTTTCAAAGCTGTAATCAAATTGCAGCAGCTAGTAGCTCTTGTTGACAATATAAAACATGAGAAACAGAACAATTTGCTCAGAATAGAACATCATGTGATCCCCTCATACTGTTCATAATACTTGGAATCAAAATAATGATGACATTCCTTGCTGTTCACTTTGGTTTTGATTTTCAGTTCAAGATTTGGCTTCTCTCTTCCGAGAATGATCATATTTGTCTTCTCTTTGAAGCTTCTTGTTGCAAAAAGTTGGGAAAGTAGAGTGGAAACTGACTTTTTTGCCATTCTGTGGGTGAATGAAAATGTGAAAAATGTTACTGGGTTGGTACTATTTATAGTAGGTGCCTACTCCCCCAAAAAAGAAATGAAATAAAAATGATACTTAAGGTTTAAAAAAATACTTTTAAAAATGAAAAATCTTTCTTGAAGATTTTATTTTAATTTTAATTTCAAGCTAATAGATTAAATTTAATATTTGTAATAAACAAAATACTTTGCTCTATTTCAAACTGAATTTAAATAGGTCGGAAATATTTGATTTTTATTATCAATGAAATCGTCCGTATAGACAAATCTGTTAACATAATTCTTTTTATTAAAAAATCTTTCAGAAATAAAATATACTTTTTTGAAAGGTTATTTGAGAAAAATTAGCTGATTTAAAGTTTAATTAATCTGAATTGAAACAAATATTACTTACTGTTAGTGCAATATATCACCTAAAATCATATTTTTAACAGAGGAGGATGTGGTATGATCCCAAAAATGAACCTGTCCTGAACAGAATCAGGAGAACTCTGCTGCTATGCAGAGTTCATTAATGCTTGAACACATCCGACAGTCTGTTGCCTGTCCCTACTTGTCAGCCTCTTTGCCTTTGGATGGAGAGGAACCCAGATGAGGCTATGCCGAATGGCAGAATTTCGTCTGGGGAGGTAAACAATGCCTTTTTATATAATTTATTTTAACTACTCAATACTCTTAAAAATTTAAAATATTCTAATATTATTGAATTTTAGATAATTTGATATGGTTTGTTCATTTTGTTTTTGCAGCATATCAACCTCAACTGGTTATTTAATGTGAACAAGATTTTTATTGCTGGTAATATTTTCTTTTTCAAAAATGTATTGCTGGTAATTTTTTTTTTTAAATGTATAGCTGGTAATTTTTTTTCAAAAATGTATTACTGGTAATAATATATTACTGGTAATAATTTTTTACAAATATTTCTGGTATTAAAACCTATTTTTACACTTTCATAGTGTTTTGACCCCAGTTTCGCGGTTAACTATTTGCCCATAGCTGCTACCACCCTGGGTCAGGGTGGACCAGGGAACACCCGCAATTAAGAGGTGTTTCCCCACTTCTCAAAACCTCCTGATCAAAGGCCTTTGCTGTTGGATGTAGTTTATCGTCTTACCCAGGATGCAGATGTAGTTTATCATCATATCCAGGATAGAGATAATTTGGCTTTATAGTGTTACTTATGAAGACACTTGCAAAGAAAAATGTTAGAAAATTACCAATAAATTTTAAATTTACTGTAGTTATTACTATTATTTTTTTGATTATGGACATCTGTATTTACTAAAAACAGCATACACATAAAAAATTTCAAATTCTTTTTAAAGCTTTTGCATTTATTATTAGTAAATAAACTTTTTATTTAATAGCATTATTTTATAGCTAATCTATACAGAATTTTAAAAGGTTTTAAAAGTTTATAAATTACTCTAATTAAAATTTTAAAAAATGAAACAATTCTTGTAAAAATTCATTATTCATCAAAATTTTTTTCTTAAGACAGTAATGTCTATTATATATTTTATTCATAAAAGCTTTTCTGATTAAATAATGTCTTAGTTTTATTGCATATTTTATTTTATAATTCAGAACAGAATTTCTGAAATTGTTTTACAAAATAAATTTTTTAAAAAATCTGACAATTATATGATTTTTGTAATATTTTCATCATGTTAACACCAGAAAAACAAGATTTTTAACTAAAATTTCAAAGGTTCTAAAAAGGATTAAAAAAATAATTTTTACATTGAAAAATCCTTTAATCTTCCCTCTTAATAATAAGACAAAGATTTTGCTGATAAAATTTTGTTCTTATTAAGTTTTGGGCATTTTTTCATCATGTATGCTCATTTTTTTAGTGAATCTTTGAAGATACTGAGATAATTTTTTTAAATGAATCAAAACTGGAGTCTGACAAAATATTTCAAGAATTTACTTGTTTACTTTTTTTCATGTAACTTTTAAAAATAATTTTAATATTTAAAATTAAATTTGGAAGCATTAGAATGGATAAATGGATGAAAATTTTACCTTTTTTATCACAAAAATAAATATTTTGCTCTAAGTAGAAACTGGGCAAGAAGAAAATTTTGGGTCATGGTGAAAATGGATCTTAAGAAAGGATCAAGAATACTCTTCAGAAATGAAATCTTTTTAAAAAGCAATAAAAAAATTAACTTTTGATGTGACATTAGACATTCTGTATATAATCTTCAGTATCAAATAATCATAAAAAAATAAACCAGAATCAGAAATAAAAAAAAATTTGGAAATTGACTAAAAATACCCATTTCCCATGTAAATTTGTCCACAGTTCTAATGTCATTTGAATAAAAGCATGTCTTTGATGTTAGTCACACAAGGGCAATAAAAAAAAATTAGTGCTTCAGAAGAAAAAAAGAATTTGACAATCTTATCAAAATGATTATTAATTTTCAATTTTATACTGATCTGATCTGTCAGAGAAGTGCACATGTTTTCGCAAGATATTCACTGGTCACTTACTATTACAGGTAAGCAACATACAAGTGCTACAAGTGCATTGGTTGTTATCATAATGGAAAGAAGAAGAGAAGGCAGATAAATTGAAATGAAGTACCTATCATGTATCTGTGTCTTTCTCTCTTTCCTCCTCTCTTTCTTTCTTTTTCCTTCCTTTCCCCTTTCATTCTGACCAGTTTTATATTGTGTACATGTGGAGGAATGGGGATAGTGAGTAGATATGCTTCCCTACACTTTAAGTGGCATCAGTGGACAAATGCTAGACCCTTGATTTTCATATAAGTCAACCCCGTGACCAATGATAGATGCCGTGGTGCCAAAATTCAAGATTCGGCAGTTTAAGAACAGCAATTAAATGAGATGGGTGCCAACTCCTGTTTTACGTCTTATCCAGAAGACTGAATAATGCAGTAATCCAAAAGAAAACTGTTGTTTGAACAAGTTTTATCCTATCCAGGAATTACAGATATGTCTCGAACATCAACCTCGACGATTGTTAACATCTGCTTGATGGACACTGAACTCTGAAGTTATCCATGGGCATCTGATGTTCTATGGTTATGAACTTATCCCTCAGCGTCAACCTTTTTATAAGAACTGTCAATATGTTGACTCCAAAATACAGTTAAGTAATATGTAGATTATCTTGACATGATTGAAATTTATATGATGTATGCCACATCCACCGCATGTAAACCCAAATAAATTCCTTCTTTTTTTATCTTCCCTTTTTCTGTTATCAAGTTCATGTTATTAAACTGTTTCTGTTAAATTGACTCCACATGTTTGCTGTCATTTTTTTCACTGGTTATTGCATTTTGCATGTATTGTTCCTATCCTGTAGACATCCTTTACTCATAGGAATCCAGGAAATCATATCCTGAGTCAAATCTCGTATTCCAGCTTAAATGCAAATTTTATTTATGTCTGAGACCATGACACTTACCAAATGACAAGGACCTGTGAAACATTCATCAGGAATTTTGTAATATTTGAGCACTGTGTTTGCAGTTCCTTCTACAAATTTCATCCTAACCACTCTGAAATTGGTTCCACCAAGATCCAATCCAAGATAGATTCCATTTTCTGGTTAAAACAAAATATCTAGAAGATTTAGTTTCAAGAAACTTAAAATTGATAAGGAATAAAAGACAAGAATTTCCAATCATTTCAATAGAAAAAGACAGTGGAAAAAAAACAAAAATTTAATAATAAAAATGTTCAGAAAAATTTAAAGTGCAAAACATTACACGGATAATTTTTTTAAAGTTTATTGCAAAAAGAATTTCTAAATACAATATAATAATTTCTTGAAAAGGACTCAGATCTTAAATTTTACAACATATAATAAATACATTTAAAAACTTTTTGCCAGTAACAGAGGTCTAAATTTAAACACTTATTAAAATTAATTTAAGAATTTATCATTTATTTAAAACCCTTAAAAGGGTAATTTCATATAAAATCATCCAGAAAAATGGGAAGTTGTCACCTTTACCTCATGGATTTACTTAAACTTTTTAACCAGTGGTAGGTATCATTAAAACAAAAAAATCCTGAAAATTTGAGCCTCTAACTTCCAAGCAGTTCAGAAAATATGCCATTTTTAAGATTTTGCATGAAACGTGATTTGCAAGAAAACCGCGGCATTACAAAATCCCTTTTTCTTCAATAAATTCCATTCAGACATGCTAGAACCATGAAATTTTGCACAGGAAAGTATTTGAGGGTGAAGAATCCAAAAATGGCATCAAAACACCTAGAAATCAACCATTTTTTAAACTATACAACAATTTGTGTAAATTTTGGCATGTGGGAAATATTTTGAAAAAAATGATGTGGCACTATAGTTAAATGAAAATTTATTTTTTAAAAGTGTTCCCCATACTACAATCATAAATGAAATTGAAAATGAAGTCTTGATCTCTCATTTTTGGCCCACAATTAACAACCAAAAATGGGCATTTTTCCCGGCCATTGGTATATAGACCTTATACTTAATCTTTTGAATACACTCCAAGGAAGTCCAATAAAAATGGATTTTTCAGTAAGACAAATGGATGAATGAGTAAACTGACACTATTTTCATGCCTTAGTCTTTTTAAGGCTTTTATTAGGTCAAATGGTCATAAAATACTAAACAGTACAACAGTAGAGAAACAAAAACAATCTCACAAGAAATATTCACATCTAGAAAAAGAATCCATCAACCAAAACATTTTTATCTAGAAATGAAGTTTAGCAAATGCAGCTACAGTTTTGTTATAATCTGCATTACTTATCTTGTAAATGGAAGGAACTTGTACTAATGAGAAGACCTACAATTTGCCATCAATTTTGGTGGGGACCTGCAATTAAGAACCTGACCAATAGTGCCAAGCCATGGCAGGTTTACTTATCATGCATTCTCAGGAAAAATGAGAGCTGGAGAGACTACACGATGCCATGAGAGAAAAACTGAAAACTGCATCATACCCTGAAAAGATACAAATTCTCACATTGGTACCTGACAAATGGTCACATAAGTAATGTTCTGAATAATTTCATGTTTCTGAGTATCTGGTATGAATTACTAGAGGATTTAAAAAAGGATGGTGGCATATTGGCTAAACCTGTCCCCAAGAGAGGAAATACTATTCCCCAAGTAACACTTGACCTTGTTTTAAAGGTTTAATGAAGAAGACGAGTTCAGTCACCAAACACCTGGTAAAAAGGACTGTGTTAGTATCAGTAACAAAATAAAGAAACAGGAATGATTGGTTCTCTGTAATCTTTCATTTAAGGAAAAACATCCTGATATAAAACTTTGTTTCTCTAAGTTTTGCACTCTGCAGCCAAAATGTTATGTCCTTGCTGGATCATCAGGCACTCACTTGGTCTGTATGCAGTACTCATCAGAATGCAGTACTTCTATTTGATGCTATTGACTGGGACATTAAATACAAAGACCTTATCAACAAAGTTGTTTGTAATGCCGATAGCAAGGAATGCATGATACACCATCGGGAGTCCTGTCCTGGAACTGCTGGTTTGAAGAAATTCCTTGATGATACGCTCAGTGATCTTGACATGGATGAAGAGTTTCACTACTGTCAATGAGACACTACTGATTGTGCCTCATAAACAACACTGACAACGACATATGAAGAGTATAAAGATTTTGTGATTGAAACAATAAACAATAATCTCACACAATATTCTTGTCTGGCCAAGTCCCAAGCAAAATACCTAAAGTCGAAGAAGGAATCACTAGAAAATGAGGTGCTTTTGTTAGGAGATTTTGCAGATAATTACCAGTTCTTGATACAGGATGAAATCCAAAGCTATCATTAGAGTAAAGAGTAGTGTACAATTACATCCACTAGTGGTGTATTACAAGGATGCCGATGGAAACCTGCAACACAACACCTTTTGTTTCATCTCAGATGATAATACTCATGACACTAGCTTTATATATCAGATTCAGAAAATACTGGTAGATTATTTAAAAGAGACATACCTGCATGTAAAAAAAATTATCTACTTTTCTTATAGTTGTGGTGGAGAGTACAAAAATTTAAAAAACTTGAATTTGTATGCTTACAAACAAGATTTTGAGATGGATGCTGAGTGGGTGTTTTTTGCCACAAGCCATCGTAAATCACCTTGTGATAGCATAGGTGGTGCAGTAAAATATCACACAGCCAAACAAAGTTTACAGAGACCATTAAACAATCAAATTTTCAATTACAAGGCTATACTTGACTTATGTCAGGAGTAAATGACATCAATCAGGTTCTATGGTATCAACAAGGAGGATATACATGAAGTGAGGAAGAAGATGGAAAAGTGATATCAACATGGTAACACTGTACCAGGAACAAGAAGCAGCCATCATTTCATTCCAATGTCATCTTCACAAATTGAGCATAAACTCTCCAGTGACAATTTGTTGATATCCATGATTTCAACATTTCCACTTCAGTTGATATTGGTGATATAGGACCACTCTCACATGAAAAAACCTTCAAATGGCTGGAGGGATGGTGATTTATGTTATGTCTTGGTGAAGAACATTGTTCATGCCATCAGTCCTCCTACAAGTACTGGAAGAACATACAAAATAAGTGATGCAGATTATAATAAAACTTTAGCTATATTTGCTAAACTTCATTTCCAGATAAAAATCATGTGATCAAGTGTTTTGATTGGTGGATTATTTTTCTACATGTGTATATTTCTCATGAGATTGTTTTTGTTTCTCTACTGTTGTACTGTTTAGTATTTTATGACCATTTGACCTAATAAAAGCCTTAAAAAGACTAAGGCATGAAAATAGTGTCAGTTTACTCATTCATTCATTTGTCTTACTGAAAAATCCATTTTTATTGGACTTCCTTGGAGTGTATTCAAAAGATTAAGTATAAGGTCTATATACCAATGGCCGGAAAAAATTTATTGAAGAAAAAGGGATTTTGTAATGCCGCGGTCTTCTCGCAAAACACGTTTCATGCAAAATCTTAAAAATGGCATATTTTCTGAACTGCTTGGAACTTAGAGGCTCAAAATTTCAGGATTGTCTTGTTTTAATGATACCTACCACTGGTTAAAAATTTTAAGTAAATCCATGACATAGTCTGGATGATTTGATATGGAATTACCAAAAAGTTATCTGCCAACAATGGAATAGATTTAAAAGATCTAATTGTCATGATCCACTTGACCTACCATTTCCACTGAGATTTCTGCGTATAAAGGTATTCTCCATTAATAGAGTTGTTTTCTTGCGAATTTCAACATCTCTGCTGCTACCATATTGCATATTCTGTTCACATATGGCAGAAATAGCTTTGATTTGCATTTCACTCAGCACAAACATAGAAAATATGGATTTAATCTGCATATAAAGAAATAAAATATCAGCCCTTTATACAGAAATAATATCAGAATACTGGAACTTCTGCACAAAGATTTTAAGACCAAGCTCAGGAATAATTAAAAATCTGTCCTTATTTTCAATTATTTTTAATCCAACAAATAAATTTTTCTAATGAAAAAAATCAGGTTTAGAGATTTTTTCTTTATTTAAATATTCAATTTATATGAATGTGCATCAGAAAAACTAGTAGTGCTTACCTGATTTAAATGTTCTTTGCTAAAAAGATTGTGAAGCTTTTCTGCTCTATCTTCCATTGTCAAGGACATGTTTTTCAAAACACTGAAAACATAACAAAATCTTAGTTCTGTATAAAATACTGCTAAATATGAAACATAGACCTAATGCAAAAGTAGCTGTCATGCCAGGGTAAAAAAAATGAAAAGAGGAGAAACAGGAGATTTGAACTACCAAACCCTACTTACATCAAATTGATACACCCACTTTTGGTTCCCGTTTTTTTTTAAGCTTTGAAATCACATTAACTAAAATATGAGTTACACTCTTAATTACTGATATTTCTATTGTTAACTGATGATAAATATTTCCCAAGCTTCATACCAATTGTTAAATAGAACTGATAAAGCAGGAAGCACTGGGCATTCAATAACGTAATTAAAAGGTGACAGAAGAGACAATATCTAAACTTAATTCCTTAATAACCTAGAGAACTAATACAAAGAAAATTAACATTTTGTGAATGAAAATTATTGTTACAATTCCAATGAATGCAAATAAAAGAAATCATATATTTAAAAGAGACAAAATTATCTCTTAAAGTAAATGCAAATGCAAATTTAAGATAGAATTCCTTTAACAGAAAGAAAATATGAATGTTGCTCATAAAGTTTTACATACTTCTTGGAATCATCTTGAAACAACCTCTTTCTTTCATGATAAAAATTAATGAGCATTTTTTTCTGGAAAAAAGTAACTTATATTGAAAATACATGTATGTATTACTAAACAATTGGCTTGGTATCATTTTAACATCAAAATACAAAATTTTGTGTTGCTTTTCAAAATTAAAATACTTGGCAAGGAAATTGTCTTGAAAGATTTTAGATTTTACAGACATGAAGTTAGATTTTAGAGGTGTGAATTTTTGAAAATTTTTACTTAGTAGTTAAAATATTTTTCATAATATTGCATAAAAAACTAATGTACTTTATGACTAAGTAATATAAGTAAGATTATTTCATCTGTTTCTATTCTTTTTATTCTCTATTAATTTCTTCTGCTGATAATAAAATCAGTATTTATGGTAAAATATCTTTCTTTGATTAATGTATTAAGAGGAATTGAAATTAAGACACTAAAATTTTACAGATACCTGAAATGGTCAATTTATTATCATATTTTTCCTTTTTAGTTTGATCCTTAGAACACATCAAATGATGTTTATATGTATTTAGCATCCACTATTTTAATAATGATTTAGCATCCACTATTTTAATAATGATTTAGCATCCACTATTTTAATAATGATTGCTCTATCAACACTTTCTAGTTTGGAAATTAATCTTGTAACTACCTACCATGCTAGCTAATTTTATCCAGAAGAAATTTGAAAAAGGATATTCCTTGAGGAATTATTATATGAATGATTTTTTAAAAACTCATTTATCCCTTGACCTAGCAGGCCATAGAGAACACTAAGCAATAGTTAGACTTTTTATTTGATCTAATGAGAATGGAAGATTTTTTTGATTTAGTAAAGTGAAAAAGTCATGTAACACCAGGATAACATAGTTAATGATGGATATTCACAAAGATCTTGCAGAGTATAAATAAGAGCAGAAATGTGAGAAAAAGTATCAGCTACAGTATTCTCATTTAACAGCATTCATTCATTGGACAGAAAGCAATGCTGCTATCTGAAGCGACAATTTTAAAATCGCTATATTTTCATATAGTAAATTTTGTGCACTTTTGGGAGAACTGTCTCCCAGAAGTCTCCCCAAAACTCAGGCACTGATTGGTCAGTCATCTCTGCATCTGGAGAATGATTTTTTCCGCGCAGATTCCTAATTCGATGACTACCTATATAAAGAGAACAAAAGAGGACCAACACCATTGAGACTTCAACTGCTACTGGAATCCACGTCAGTTGAAGACATGCACCCATCTTCTCACTCACTCTCAAATTACATATTCTATCAGACTTACATAATTTTCCTCTTGCACGGCTGAACTGTCTAAAACATTTATAACAGACTAATAACTCTTTCATTTCCTTTTCAGAGAACATTGATAAACTTTTATAGTCAAAGAGATACTACTCTTGTTTGGATTGCCTGCTTCTTTTTCGTATATATTCTCTATTGTACGCTTTGTTGAATACAATTTATATATATATATATGGTGCTCGGTAAAAATGGCAGTGGAAAAAATGGCAGGGCAAAAATGGCAACGGTAAAAATGGCAAAAGTGGATAAATAGGAAAAAATGGCAAAAGTGGATGAATAGGAAAAAATGGCAATTCGACAACAGCAAATTATGACCGTTCGAGAAGGATGGGTCTAAGTTCCCATCCCTATAGTTTAAAATAGGGCTAAGTCCCCCGCCTCAATATTTTAAAATAAATATTTACTCTAGTGTGTGTGTGTGGAGGGGGGCTAGGCTCCTTCTCCTCTTGTTTTAAATAGGGCTAAATTCCCGCTCCTAGTATTAAAAACATTTTTTTTAAATTTTCATTCTCGATTTTTAGAAGTTTTATTGGGTTGGGGCACTAGGTTCCAACTCTAATTGCAGTAAAAGCACAGATCATAGCGTGTTTAAGTGAATTTGATGACTATCATTAATTTTATAATTGATAGCTGACATTAGGTTTAGATGTGTATCTTACTTATTATAAAACGCAGGTTGTGTGTGTGTGTGTCTGTAACGTTTATATGTTGGATCGAATTTCCTACATTTTTTAGCCGATTTCAACAAAACTTCACAGGACTACCTTTTGGTGGTTCTAACGGCGCCGAAAATGGGAAAAACACAGTTGTTTTTTAAGAAAATCAATTTGAAAACACGATTAAGACACATCGTGAGAATGAAAGGGGGACAACTCACCCACAAAAATGTAAACAAAAGAACATAGCATGATGCAAAAGACGCCGAACTTGACGAAAACAAAATTTTATCGTCTAATGTTCATATTATTATTAAAGAGGAAAGATCAAAGTATTTTTTGGGGTATTTTTTTACATTTTTAATCGTTCCTAGCACGTCTGAAATTTTCGTTAAAAATATTTTTTTTTGGTAAAAAAAAGGACAGATAATCATTTTCAATCATTTTTTTCGATTTGATAAAAAAAGATTAAAGTCTTACTTTGATATTCTTTTAAAAGTGAATTATCGTTTTTTCAAAACTGATTTTAATAAAAACAGATATTATACTGTTTATTTAAAATATTTTGAACCAAGCTTAACTTAGCTTCTGTGCTGAAAAATGTAATTTGAAAATAAAACAAAGCAGGTCATAACCTTTCGCATCGCTTGTCGATTGACGAAAGGCACATTCATGACGTTTAGATAACTTACGGAGGGTAATTCTTTCTACGGATGGAAGGAAGTGAAATTATTTAAGTGAACAAATTATTTACCTCGTTACTTTTAAGGAAAACTTTCAGCGCTCTAATTTTTTTATTTTTTTTTTTTTTTGTACTTAGCTTTCATTTTTACGTTTACGATGCTTTATGGAAAATATAAAGAAATTCAAAAATAAGACTGTTAATAGTGAGATTAAATTTCATAAGAAAAAGGTATCTAATTAATTTAGGTACCTTTCTTATGAAATTTTATCAGAAGTGTACATAAAATACTATAATTTTATGTACATTTATTACATTTTACTGTGTTATTTGTATTTCCATTCATTTTATTATTAATTTTGATATTTCATTTATGGAAAAATGTCATAACTGAGATTAATATAAAAATAAGATCATATAAATTAAAGTTTAGCAGTAGTTAAATTTCATAAGATGATACTGATACTTGTAGGTACCCTTCTCAGTTGAAATTGAAAACTCAAATTAACTTCTCCATACGTGTTTCGCAAAAGTAAAGGGCTTAACAGCGGAGAACAATGCTGAACTCAAATAATGCAACTAAATTGTATTCTGGTTGGTCTTCCGTACTTGATAATTACTGTCTGACTATAAACACAAAAATTACATTTCTTAATTACCATGGCTAATCTGATTGGTCCAAATTATACAATTTTCAAAGCACTAGACAATGACAATCTCACACGGACATTTTGAAAGGTTGATGTTGCATTTAACTAATGTTAAAATATTTTTCAATTTAAACATTTTTTAAAAATCTTTTTAAAATTAAAGAAATAAGAAATAATTGTATTAAAAATTCAAAAAATTTTTTGCTTCCAGAAAATATTGTCCATATTCATAAAAACAAATTAAAACAAATAAAAGCATTTGAAACTAAATAATATATTTGTTTAATTAAGTTTTGTATGTTACAATTCACAGCTGATTTTCAGGTACGTTGGCCAAAAAAAAACAAAAAAAAATACATGATTTGCATTCTTCAAAGTCTTGTGCTTTTAACTATTGTAATCACTAAAACCGATGGTTTCAAATTTCTAGAGTTTTTCATAAAATTAGTTATGGGGGTGTTAATAAATATAAAAAAAATTTTTCTGCCATGACTTTAATAAAAAAAAAAAAAAAATATTTATAATAATTTCGATCATCTGTGAATAGTTTCTGAAAGTTTCATTAACATCTGACAAAATTTAGAATATTCTAAAAAGATGGAAAAATTTTTAAAAATAATTTAAAAAAAATTTAGTCTATCCTCTTCATAAAAACATAAGCATTTTGACGATAAAATTTTGTTTTCATAAACTTTAGCGTCTTTTTCATCAGACTATGCTCTATGTTTTAGCGATTCCGTGGAGTGACTTAGGTTAAAAAACCCAGGTTGTTTGTGTGTGTGTGTGTGTTCCTTTATATATGGGATCGGATTTCTTACATTTTTCAGCCGATAAAACAAACATCCACTTTTTTTTTGGCAGGTAGTATTTCTTATTGTCTTGCACATTTTTTTCTTTATTTACATTCAGAATGCTTTAAAAATTCCATTTACAAGACAATTGTTTATAATAAAATTCTATTCACCAATCGATAGACTCATAACGATTGTAAACAATGTTTTTGTTTGAGTTTGGGTTTGACCAATTCCTAAAAAAAAAAAAACTAATTAAGACAATAATCTTTGTCAATTTTATTTTTCAGTCTTTATGATAGTCGATACTTGATCTATCTCTTACTGTTACATCCCCGGGCAACGCCGGGCTCTACTGTTAGTATATATATATATATATATATATATATTAGTGTTGGGACGATTAATGGGAATTGGAAAAATTGCAATGGCAAGGTTCTGAATCCCATTTACAGATTTTGTATTGACTCTCAGAGTCTAATTTAATTATTTTATTGTTAAATTATGGTAAACAAGTAAATATTCTAGAGTTCACTTAGCCTATTCCTCAGCAAACCTTTTGAATTTCTGTTCACACCTATTTGCTAAATGTCTATATGACACCTCTCAGAGACTTCACACTTGAGTATTAAAAGATTGAAAACGCATCAGACAAGATTTTAAATTTTACTGGCACCAGTCTGAACCTGTCATTGTGTGATAACCTCTGAAATAATTAATGTCTTATTGTTTTGTTTTTTTTTTTGTTTTTTTTTCGGTTTCATCAAGTGGACCTATAATTGTTTTTTCCCAAGTTTTTCAGTGTGTTCAGACGTAATCACCTAAAAAGTAAAATCTCATGGGAGTGGGGAGCTTTAGCTGAATACTCTTTTTAATTTGACAAACTTCGCATGTTTTTCCATTATGCATTATGTATCCAAGATTTTAATAAACTCATTGTGAGATATTCATCTATATTTTTTTTCCTTTTGTCATTTTTTCTTATTTATCCATTTTTGCCATTTTTACCTATTTATCCACTTTTGCCATTTTTACCGTTGCCATTTTTTCCGTTGCCATTTTTACCGCTGCCATTTTTACCTAAATTCATATATATATATATATATATATATATATATTATATATATTTATATATATTGATACCTTTGCCTTGTCCCTTGTTTTTATATCAGTTTGGGTTCCTAAACAAAAATTTAAAAAAATGTTGTGAGAGGCCTAGACACGTTACATCTCATTGATAACTCCGACGTTCGTTTCGTTCTGACAGCCTTTTTTTCATTTTGAGCCTATTTATGTTGTTGCTATGCCCGAAGTATTAAAAATCAAATGCCTTGGAAAAAATGGATTGAAAATAAAATCTAACTTCAAAGAAGACATTTAAATTATTAATGCATTTTTGTTTTTTTTAGGAAGTCCATGGCGATTAATAACCCAATCAAGGGATACCTAAGGTTGAAGCTTTTATTGTAGTTTTGATTTACCAATAAATTTTAAATTTACTATTACTGTTATTTTCTGATAATGTTGTCTATTGGATATCCCTATTTACAAAAATAAGCATGCTGGTACACACAAAAAAATATTCAAAATACTTTTTAAAATAATGGTGGTTGCTGCTAAAAAGTTTTTAATAACAATATCAACTAACCTCTACAAATTAATACAGAGTTTTAAAAGATTTAAAACTTTATGAGTTCTGATTAAATTTTTAAAAATGAAAACAATTCTTGTAAAAATTCATTATTAATTGAGAAATCATATTTTTCAATATAAAAGCAATTAATGTCTTAGTTAACTTTTGAAAACTAAATGCAATAAAACTTTTATTGCATTTTATTTTTTTATTTTATGATTCAGAATAGATTTTCTTTCTGGAAATGGGGATCCTGTATTACAAAAAAGAAATGTAAATTTAAATTCTCCAAGGACTTTAATGGTACAAAAATGAATTTTCTCGAAATTTCATAATGGATGTAACAGATATTGCTTGCGTGCGAGAGTGGGAGTAAAATAATTTTTCATTTGTGAATAAGCCCTGAACCAAAGTTTGATTATCATTAAAATCATAAAACCCGTCAATTATCTGATTTTTGGGTTCCTAAATCAATGCGCCTTCCAGTGCAAAACCAAAAAGACGTTCAAACTTCCCATAATTTATGGTCAATTAACGCAAGAAAAACAAAAATTTTAACAAAAATTTTGGATATTCTAAAAAGGATTAAAAAATATAATTTAAACAAAAAAACCTTTGGTCTTTCTTTCCTCTTAAACAAAGATTATGACGATAAAATTTTGTTTTTAGAAAGTTTGGGTCATTTTTTTTTTATCATTTATGTTCATTTTCTTGCAAATCTTTGGAAGTAAATACCAACACTAAAAATAAAATCCGGTAGTTTTGTTTTACCACCTTTGGCTTTCCTTTAACCCATTAATGTTTGTCTCATTTTAGGACGGTGGGCATTAATTAGTTAAAAAAATAACATTTCAAACCAAGTTCTTATCTATGATTTATTAAAACTAAAAGCTTTTTTTGTTGCAAAATTTTATTTTAATTCTGTTAGTTCTGTCGATGTATTGGGCTCTACACAATACTTTTTTGATACAGGAAAAGATTATGATAATTTTACACTAATCAATGCAAACATTCCTTTCCCATGTACCATGAAACTATTTTGTTTTTGTAAAAGTAAAAAAAGAAACGGAAGTTGATTGCAATATTGCTCTACATCTCACTGCAGAAATTCATCATTAACCAAACAATTATCTACCGTTATTTATTATCGTTACTACATTTGTTAAGCAATTAATAATAATCTTGATTTTGTGTTTAATGATTTAATAATTTCAATTATTTTCACAGAAACCAGTGAAATAAATGACAGAAACTTTCTTTTAATAAAAAGAAAAAAAGTTAACTTTTGCATGTTATCGTTTCTGATTTTTCTCCTCAGTCCGTATTTTCTTGCATCTGGTCCAACAAGTTTCAGTCAACAGTTTGCGGTGACATCATAACATTGATGCATAGAAAATGAATATTATAAGTGATTATTGTCTTAAAAATATATTCCTTACCTCTTAGGATAGGGTTTTTTAACTTCCATTAAATGAATTTTGGTGGTCTCTTTTGATAGCTAAAAACTTTGGGGGGTTATACTTTTCACTGTTGAATAGAAGGCGTTGTCTGTGCCACGTACGTAACATCAGTTTTTTTTTAACTATTGAAAACTCATTTCTATTTTTGCTTAAACCGTGTGCAGCAACGTGTCTGTATTATCATGTAACAGTAACACGAATACTAAGTAGTCACTGACTGCTGCTCATGCTGCATATATATTTTAAAAACGTGTCATCCATGCTTGCTGCATATATATTTTAAAAACGCGTCGTATGAAGGAAATTTTTAAAAAGTAATTTTTAAAGATTAGTTCAGTAAAAAAAGATACACTCGTACACAGGTAATAATCCTCAGAATGCTCCTTCTAGTATCGGTAATGGTCGTCATTAGCTCTTAATAAGACCGTCTCATAAATCATTTGTTAGATTAAAGTTTAACCACAATATTGAGCTAACAGTGGTTAGAACCTAACCATTTAATTTTACTATGACGAAGTAAGTCTATGAGTTTATCATTAAACTCACAGACTTACTTCGTCATAGAAAATGGTTAGGTTCTCTAACCACTGTTTTAGCTCAATATTGTGGTTTTGTGATAAGTAATCTGTTAGAATAAAAAAAAATTACCATTTTTAAAATGTATCGCGTAAGATTTTTTTTTTTTTTGTATAGTTTCATTTTTTTAAACGCGTCGTAAAGCTTTGCAACTCATCTTTTAGTTTTAATTATTTATTTATTGCATTGAATAGAAAATTAATAAAGCGATTTTTTTGTGCTATTGTAGAGGATTATCATTGAATGCAACGCTGGGGTTACCATCTGTAGAAGTACGTCAGGATTAACAACAATTTGTAGAGTAAATTCTGTTGCGTGTTCAAAGTGACGTAAATCCTCAACACAACGAAGTACAATGAACAAAAATGAGAAATAACACAAAACAGTAACAATAAATAAATTTTCATTTATATAGCATAATTGTTATGGGCGTGTTCATTGGTGCATATATCTTTTGTATTATTAATGATTCAAGAAAACAACGAAACTCCAAATGTGAATCAACAAGTATATATTGAAATAACATACAAGAACAAAATATACAATAATTTGAATTCAATGTATAGATTAAGGGAAAAGAAGTTGCTTCCCTTTTTCCGTATTTTGATTTGTAATTGATTGTTCGAAAGAAAGTTCTCTTGAGAGAGAAATGTTCAGTAATCAATGTTAGAACAAGTCTGCTGTTAGAATAGATAACACAAGAATACAATTGATCAGAAAGTGTGTTGTGTTAGAGAAATCAACAGAGTCCTGGCTGATTGAACTTGGCTGAGTTACAGATATATATATATATATATATATATATATATATATATATATATATATATATATATTACAAAATTCTGTGTCTGTGTGTGCGTTGAAATGTTGTGAGTAAAGTCATAGATTTGTGTTGACAGGCGAAATTTAGTGGACTCTACTGGCGGCTTGTGAAAAAGTCGCCTCTTTTAAAGCTACAGATAGGCTCCCAGCGAAAACGCGGGAAATGTCGATTTTGCACAAAAATATGTGATTGTTAAAATTTGACCATTTGCTAAATTTGTACTAACGAAACAAGTAAGTTCAAAACCGAAAAATTCAAAGCAACGACTGCGATGGCTAAATTGTCCTATAGAAAGGCAGTATTGATTTATTAGCCAATCGCAGACGAATAAAATGCGGGCGTGGAAAACATAGCAGTTGCTACAACTACCTCCCCACCACCACCACAGTTTGAAAAAAGTGATGAAGACATTTTTTTAATATGTCACATATTGTTTGAATTTTGAAGGCCAGTGGACCCTACTACCTTTCTTGGAAACCTGGTGTTCAGGTGTTTCAGACGTTTGTTGTGTACTACTTGGTGGTGGTGATGATGACGATGATTGGGTAGGTTTAATATTCCGCTCAATGTATACTAGCTTGAGGCGATCAATCGAAACCATTGACCATTAGTGAGCTGAATAGTGTAGAACTTTTCATGTCGAGCAAGAACTCGAAATGGGCCTGAGTAGCTGAGTGGCTTCTTGACAGAGTCGTACAAACACGAAATCACATTTATCTAAAGAGGAAGGAACATAAATGTTCTTGGTTTGGAAAACGAGTGCGTGTAAATGCCAATGTAGACATTCTACCCTGCAGGTATTGGACAAAGGTTGAGGAAGGTTGTAAGGGTGAATTTCCGGAGAGAAATTGCCATGGCAACACTAGTGATTGGCCAAAAACAAGACCTGCAGGTGAACACTGCAACTCCTCTTTTATTTGAGAACGAAGCGAAAGCATGACTAGAGGTAAATTATCCATCCAGGATTGGTTGGAGCTAGTTAACGCGGTCTTTAATTGACGGTGCAAACGTTCCACAAGGCCATTAGCACAGGGGTGATATGCTGTCGTTGAGATATGCTTCGCTTCGAGAATATTCACAAATTCTTTGAAAAGTGTTGCTTGAAATTGAGGTCTAAAGTCTGTCGTTATGACTGATGGGCATCCAAAGACCGAAATCCAGTCTTTCAATATTGCCTTAGCGACAGATTCTGCGGTTATAGACTGAAGTGGAATTGCGATAGGCCATCGCGTAAATCTGTCTATGACAGTAAGGATGTACTGATATCCGTGTACTTCCGGTAATGGACTCACTAAATCGGCATGGATATGACGAAAACGACCATGAAAAAAACGCAAATGAGGCAACACTGAGTCCAATGTTTGATATATAGTTCAGCCAGACAAAATGTTCACAAATTAGTTTTGCCGTTATTTTCCGTCCCGGGTGTGAGAAAGAGTGGAAATGGTCGAAAATTCGTCTTCTCATGCTGACGGGTACTAGGGGTCTGGGATGAGAAGTGCTGACGTCACAAGCAATTGACTTGGTACGAGACGTTGCTCAATCGTTAACGACGAATTTCTCAATGAGTCAAACAGAGTAGCGCCCCTTTCTTGCCCGTCGGCTAGAAAATCGTGGTCAAGCTGTTCCTTAGTGACGTTAAGTAAGAACGCTCTTGATAGTGTGTCGGCGACATTGTTATCATTGCCTTTGACGTGACGTATCAGTAGTAAACTGCGAAATAAAGTCTAATTGCCTGTAATCACGTGGATTATACCTGTCTGATTTGGTCTGAAAGGCATAAACTAGAGGTTTATGATCAGTGAATACAGTGAACTCTCGACCTTCTAATATATGTCGGAAATGTTTAATGGAAAGGTAAATTGCAAGTAACTCACGTGAAAAGGTGCTGTACTTTTTTTTGAGTTGGAGTGAGTTTAACTGAGAAAATGGAACTAGGTGTGGTTTCTTTTTCCGTGTGCTGGTGTAAAATAGCTCCAACTGCTTCTAATGAGACATCAGTGGCGAGCGAAAGATGTGCTGTATTGTCGTCACGTGGATATTCAGGTTAGTAAAATTTGCTAGTGCATTTCTTGAATTGGTAAAAGCAGCAAGAGCCTTGTAGCGACTGCTATGTTTTTCCACGCCGACATTTTATTCGTCTGCGATTGGCTAATAAATTAATACTGCCATTCTATAGGACTATTTATCCATCGCAGTCGTTGCTTTGAATTTTTCGGTTTTTAACTTACTTACTTGTTTCGTTAGTACAAATTTGGCAATTGGTCAAATTTTAATCAATTACATATTTTGTGCAAAATCGACTTTTCCCGCGTTTTTGCTGGGAGCCTATCTGTAGCTTAAAAAGAGGCGACTTTTTCACAAGCTGCCAGTAGAATCCACTAAATTTCGCCTGTCAACACAAACCTATGACTTTACTCACAACATTTCAACGCACACACAGACACAGAATTTTGTAATACATACATACATATATATATATATATATATATATATATATATATATATCTGTAACTCAGCCAAGTTCAATCAACCAGGACTCTGTTGATTTCTCTAACACAACAAACTTTCTGATCGATTGTATTCTTGTGTTATCTATTCTAACAGCAGACTTGTTCTAACATTGATGACTGAACATTTCTCTCTCAAGAGAACTTTCTTTCGAACAATCAATTACAAATCAAAATACGGAAAAAGGGAAGCAACTTCTTTTCCCTTAATCTATACATTGAATATAAATTATTGTATATTTTGTTCTTGTATGTTATTTCAATATATACTTGTTGATTCACATTTGGAGTTTCGTTGTTTTCTTGAATCATTAATAATACAAGAGATATATGCACCAATGAACACGCGTTATAACAGCTCCGTCCGATAGTGTTATCTTCGCGTTTCTTGTACCCTGGCCACGAAGTAAGTTGGTAAGAGGTGCTAGAATGTGTGAACAGTTAAGAATGAACTGGCGATAGTAATTTATTAAGCCGAGATAACATCGAAGTTGCCGGAGCGTCGTTGGTTGGTATAACTGTAACTTTCTCCGCGACCGGTGTGATGCCGGAACCGTCAATTTCATATCTGAGGAAATTCAGTTTAGGAACGGCAAACACACATTTGTCCGGGTTGATTTTTAAGCCGAAATGTTCCAAACGCTGAAAAACTTGCGTGACGTGACGCACATGGTCATCCATGTTAGCGCTTGCTACTAGGAGGTCGTCAATGTAAGCGAACGAATGCAATAAACCACGAAGTGCTTCGTCAATTAGGCGTTGGAACGACTGTGCAGCGTTTCGAAGGCCAAAAGGCATCCGAAGGAATTCGTATAGACGGAAAGGAGTTGTAATTGCAGTTTTGTGGATGTCTTCTGCGGCCACCGGGATCTGATAGAAAGCTTTTCGTAGATTCATCTTCGTGAAAATCTTAGCTCCCTGCAGAGAAATTGCGAAATCGGCTAAGTTGGGCACAGGATATTTGTCAGGAATTGTCTGTGCATTTAGGCGTCTATAATCTCCGCAGGGCCTCCAAGGCCCCTCTTGCACCTTGGGGACCATGTGGAGTGGGGATACGAAAGGGCTTGATGAAGGGCAATTATGCCCAGATCCAACATCTGCTGAAATTCAGCACGTGCTAACTTATAATTTTCTGGTCTGAGTCTACGTGGTTTCGAAAACACTGGCGGGCCAGATGTATGAATTTTATGAACGGTGTGATGTTTTACCGTGTCATTGTACGTAAAAGGTCGGATGAGTGAAGGAAATTTATCCAGTACGTTTTGGAGTGGATTATTTTCTGGCAGGGCAACACATAATTTAGTTGCCGTGAGAGTGGAGGTTATCCCTAAATGTGTAAGTTTAGTTGTCTGGTCCATAAGTGTGTGGTTCGACATGTCCACAGCTAGCTTGTAATGTGCTAGGAAATCTGCGTCGAGTATGGGAAATTTCACTTCCGCCACGGTGAAAAAACACTGGAACGTTCTTTTTAATCCAATGGCATAGACACCTGGCCGAAAGTTTGGATTTGGGAAGCATTCGCCGCACGTAAAGTGTATGAAGATTTCTCAGTCTTAAACCCTGGTCTGGGCGGAATTACACTGCCTAGGGCGCCTGTGTCGACCAAAAATAATTGGTCAGAATTACTATCTCGGACGTAGAAAAGACGGTTGATTCTATCTCCCCCAACAGTAGACGCCGTCTTCATGTGCTGTTGGGACTGGCGTTTCCTGCCTGTTGGTTAGGTGTAGATGCTAGCCGGGGTTTAAAATTACATGGTTTGGTGCAATGCCTAGCTGTCTGACCGAATTTACGGTGATACCCACAAATAGTAGTCGTCCTCGCATGTGAGTTAGATCTGGAATATTGGCGTGACTTGTATGAGTTGTGAGCTGGGGTCGAACGTTCTCCACTCAGACGATCCAACTGAATCGACAACTTGTTGAGGTGTTGTTGGAGTTTGCTTATCAAGTCGTCGACGGGGGCGTCGTGTGGTTCAGGGACATAAGGGCCTTAGTTTCATTTATTTTATCGGCTATTGCAGCCGTTTTCATGAGGTCTAAGTCATCTGGAAGAGTTGCTAGGATTTGGGTGGTGTGGGTGGACAATTTGTCCATCCACATCTTGCGAAGCAGTGAATCCGACATTGTATTCTTGCCTAGCAGATTTTCATCTTACGTAGTAATTGTGTGGGCTTGCTGTCGCCCAATTGAAGGGTGTTGAACAGGTCGTTGATTCGGCGTTCTTCAGACTTTCCTGTTCTATATATAATAGCCTCCTTTAACGTGTCGAAGGGCTTGTCTCTCGGGACGTTGTCCAGCAAGTCCGATACGTTAGATGTAACCTCCGGCGGCAGCTTTTCAACAACGTAGGTAAAGCGTGCCGTTTAGGATTGGATTCTTTTCGTCTGGAAAATGGCGTTTAATTGTGCAAACCAGACATGCATGTTAATTGTATTGAAGACTGGCATGTTGATCAATACTGTCGCATCGTTTCCATCCTGGCCGGCCACCTTGGGTAGTTTTTGAAACGCACGTGGTAGAGAAAAAATTCTTCGCGCCAAGTTGAATTGTATATTATTTTCTTAGATGCTGTTGGCACAAAATTGTTTTTTTTCTTCGCTTTTTCATTATCTTGAATCACGTCGGCGTTCACCAATTGTGATGGCGTGTGTTCATTGGTGCATATATCTTTTGTATTATTAATGATTCAAGAAAACAACGAAACTCCAAATGTGAATCAACAAGTATATATTGAAATAACATACAAGAACAAAATATACAATAATTTGTATTCAATGTATAGATTAATGGAAAAGAATTTGCTTCCCTTTTTCCGTATCGACACGGGCCCTCACCTTCTTGTCTCCCAGCAACACATTACAGGTGAAGTCTGGCCCTTCCTTCAGCAAACGGTATACCTGTGCCTTTTTCCTTCCCATATGTTCTCTCCCTTCCTCCCGCTTTCTCGACAACCGAGACCTGGGAGTCGGTGACAGGAGTTCACCTTTTTCTGGCGGTTCCAATTTCTGCCTAGGGGCCCTCCTGGGTAGGGTAGAGCTCGGATGACCCTCTTTTCTCGGACTAGCAACCCGTTTCTCCCCTCCATTCGAGATAAGGTTGTTCCGTTCGCTGTGGTCCATCTTTCTCCTGCGAGGACAGGTTCGTCCACAGCGTCAACACATTCGCTCCTTACAACTTGCCGAAAAGTGCTCGACCACACCACATGTCCAGCATCTCAGAGGTCTTACTTGCACTGGGGCCACTCTGCCTCTTATTTTTTCACGGGTGACCCATCGGCGTTTCCTGGACCCTTTTCTTTCTCGGTAGGAGGCACCAGCGTATTAACTCGCTTTATCCCCAGTTTACGGTCTCCACCGAGCCTTGTGCCTGAACTCGCCACAAGTCGTGCAGTCTGGCCCCAAAGACCTTGTGTCGCCTCCATAGTTTGTCGGACAGTCGCGGGCCCGATGCCCACCATACTTGCAAGTCCAACACACCAGCCCATATCGGCCCGGTGTAGGCTTGTGAAACCCATAACGCAGATCCCAGGCTCTCCTATTGGGAACTGCCTCAACCTTCCAGTCCTCTTCCACCTCTTCTTTCGGGTCCCATATCTGGATCCGCTCCCGGTCCTTCTTTTTCATCACTACATTGGCAACCCGGGGGTTCCTACCTACACCCCTCCAAGAGTCGTTCGCTGGCCCGAGCCGCCTCTATGGTTGCGGCCAGGCTGACTTTTCCCCCCTTCAAAACATCGCCTCTTAGGTCCTTGTCACTCAGCGCGTCCATATACACATCGGCCAACAAGCACTGTCCCGAGTCGCCAACTCCGGAAAAGCTAACGCCGTTAGCCCCGCGATTCTTTCCCCCAATTCCTCATTAGTTCCAATCTCGGGGTTGAGGTGTCTACTCGGTCCTAACCAAACTTAAGGGAGTGGCCATAGGTCCCCTGAACATCCGTAGATTATTCGACCGGTCCGCTAGTTTAATCCTGCTTCCTGCCCACGTTGTGATTTGTTTGACCCAGAAAGCAGAAGTGATATCCGTCCATTCACGGTCGACTGAAGATGTAGACACGGCTGGGGAGTCTGCGCTAAGAAATTTAGAATGCAGAAAAAAAAAAAAAAAAACTTAATATCTGTAGAAACCCGAACAAACATCGATTCAATGGTTGAATTGGTAATGTCTTTTATATAGCAGAAAAGAATAGTAGAGAAGAGAAACGGGTTACAGAAAAGAAAAGTAAAAAAAACAAAACAAAAAAAAACTCATACACTGGATTCTAGACACAGAGAAAGTGTGTGTGATTATCTTGTTAAATTGTCTCAGAACGATATATGACTCTTGCGATGGAGGGATAAAGATTCCTGTGCGGGGCTTAAAGTTATAGTGGCGTTCCTCCTCCCAACTTTTGCCCGGGCTAATTCTCTCTTCAAGAATTTTCTCCCGTCTGTCTTTTTCAGCATAACTACGCGTTTATATAGATAAACCTGGCTGATTATAACTGACCCTCGGCCCTACTACTTCGCACGTGATTATCACGGGGGTTCTGTCTGCTTCAACTAAAATCATGTGAATTGCAAAGTTCCTTCTAGCTTACTCAGTTCTATTTCAATTTTTAATCGATAAAAATTATTTCGACCATTTCCATTGTCTACTGATCACCTAGATTCAATGGGTACAACTTCTGCCCTAGATCAGATTTCCCCATCAGTAAACAAAATGCTATGATTTAATTTCGCTATTCAGATCTACTCCAATTTCAATTAAATATATATATATATACGTCTGTGTGTGTGTGTGTGTTTCTGTGTGACTTTCTCTCTGTCACATTTCCTTCCGTACCCATCTGTCATTTACTAGTAAATGCCACACGAGCTTTCATATCAACAAAATATGAGAAAACCCAGTCCAACATGCTTCTTACTAGGAGGCTACTTAAACATACGTCTCTTCCAGCATGCAAAGGTAGAGACCTCAGTTCTTCTTAGGACTCATTATGTCCATTTACATTTTCATTGTCCTTACGATACATATGTACATGCAACTTCCGGTTAAAGTTCACTGTTTTGGTGTTCTCGTGCAATAGAACCTTTTCATAGTTCGAGGATTCTTTCCTTTTTTCTTTTTCCTTTTTTTTTTTTCGAAGTTCGCAACACTCCTTACCAATTATTTCAGTCTCACTACTAAAAATTAAAAAAAAATCGATTTACTTCGTAAATCTGTCCCTCCAATTTTGTCTCGCCTTTACAACAGACTTTGTCGAATCTTTTGTTGGTTCAGGTCTTTCCACGACAATCGTGGACTCTTCTTCCATATCAGTTAGGGGTCCCAATGCACTCGGGTCGGACCTACCTTGGTAAAGTGCACTAACTGGAATCCCTCCTTCACTCATGCACTCCCTTGTCAGTTTATTCTGCCCGGTCGACAACACCGCACGCCTCTTCGACCACCGCCAAACCAACAAGGCCACGAGTATCATTAGTATAATTCCTACAACGGTCGGTCAGGTTATTATAGCAACCAAATTCTCTCTCCAGCCCGAATTCGGCGTACCTATCCTATCTAATTCCGACATCAACCGTTCAAGATCAATCTTATCGATTAGCTTTAACAACGCCGGCATGTTTTCTAGCGACATCTTAGGAATCTCTCTTACAATGGGTTCCCACAATCCCGTCCATCCACTGGTATTTGTTTCTACCAGCTCTAACAAAGCCTCATTCTCTTCAGACTTCTCTTCTGCTTGGTAGTAGAGAGGTAAAGAGATAGATGGACCATGGGCTCCACAACCAATGGGTAGCTCTACAAAAAACAAACGGGGTATAACTCTTATCGTAGTGGTGGGCTTCCATTCACACACCTTAGATAATTCGATCTCTTCTTGGGTGGCCACCGCCCAAATTCCGTAAGACACTGGTTGCTTTAGGTAACATTACACTAGCCAACACCTCTACCTGACAATGATCTCTAATTCCCTTCTTATTTTTCTTAAATAAATCTAGTACACACATACTATGACTACCTGTCATGTAAATTGGCCTTAACAGACCAACAGTACCTCAGGCATCATTCTTGCATTTTCTTGCTTCTCCCTTTGTTAATAGCATAAACTATGTCCTGGCTAGGTTTAGGGCAATAAATTCCATCTCTACCTTCTACCTAGCCACCGCCTTAGTTTTGGATGGGGAAGGGGAAGATTCATCACCTGATAAATTTCAAAGGTACTATCTCTGTCCAGTAATGGAACCGGCACTAGCACTAGCAATTTGTCATCTTCTAACAAGGTAGTACATCCCAAGGCGCTATAATACCTCCATAACTGGTGGGTGGGGTTTACAGGTAATCTAAGGTGATGAGGTAGTTTGGCTTGTATCTCCAGTAGTACTTCCCTTAATCGTTCTGGCATTATTATACTCAGGTGTCCCAGTGACAGCATGTCTAATTGTGCCCTCACATGCTCTAACAGCACTGTTGTTTGACGTACCTTATTTATTATACCTAATAATTGAAAATACCTTTGCAACCCCCCCCTCTAATTTCTGTAATTCGGTTGTTACAGACGTGGTTACATTTATCACTTCTTTTCTAAAAACCTGTAGGTGAGAAATCAACCAATTGATACTCCCTCTATTCTTAACCAATTCCAGCCTAGTAACATTGAGTATAGATACGCTCTCTCTAACCAACTGAGCCATTGCTTGTTGTCTCTGTTCTACCACCTTTAATTTCCACTTAATTACTCTCACTTCGTCTTCGGAGTCTGTACCAAACAACATGCTTAATGCCTTTCCCATTATAGGTAATACTGACCTCTTTTGCATGATCCGTAACAACTTTATTCCTTTCAAATAGTAACTCATATCCTTCTATTGTCTCTCAACTATTAGGGATTCCTGAGCTAAGGGGTATAATATACGGTGGTATACCGGAGTCTGTAAATATTCTCCGGCAACTTGTGTCCTGGCTGTATCTAGTTTATCCACTTCGGTCTTTAACTGACCCAGTAACTTCTCATACGGCTGCAGGTCTATCACCAAAGTTATCAACCACTTTGATCTAGTTATAATCACTTCGCTAGCCTTCTTAAATACAGTATTCTCAATGTGTTCCCAGGTATAAACCTCCAGAACCAGCATCATCAGTACCGCGAGCCTCCTCTCGTCCATATCAGCAAGGAGATGGAGAGAATAATTCGTCTTACTCAATCCTTCTCTTATTGTTTTTAGCGGGTGGTTACACCTTAAAGCAATACCTCAAGCACCGACCCACACCACCACCAGCGCCGTACATGCATGGGCCCCGTCCACACAGTTCACCAGCACCGATGATAAATGCACAGTTAGTCCCAGACCGTCACTCATTCACCACAGCCACTATACTGGTTTCACTTAATCTTTGGGCTCGGGCTGCACCGCCCCCCCCACTTAATCGCAGTTTTAGTGGTAATTCCTCATTAACACTAGGTGCTTTTTCAGTCCGCAATTTATTCTGCAACTGAGCTAACGGAATTTCATCCTCTTCTTCCCATTTACTCAGTTCTTCTTTCCTAAGGTTAGGCTCAATCCCCGCTTCCTCAGAATGTCTCTCTGGGGTCCGACTTACCTCCCTCAGCCTTCGAAGGGTAGTTGGGCTAATTTTAATCTCCTCACTTCCTTCACTTTCACTCTCAGTCTCTAACCCTTCAGGTTCTACCAACGTAGATTTCCTCAGGCTTTTCTGTTGAGTTCTTGTTTCGGTTCCTTTCCATTCTCCTATTTGAGCTAGCTTTATATCATTCCCATGCACTCTCTTTACCTGTCCGTTCAATTGGTCCCAAATCACAAAGGAAACTGGACCCGTCTACTCCACGATCCTCTAGTATGGACTCCATCTCTGGTCCAATTTACCTTCTCTCAGGTGTATTTTATAATATACAGGATCACCTATCTGGAAGGAAACTTCTCTATTTTTATTTACCCTATCGTTTCGCCTTTTCTGGGCTCTTTGAATCCTCCTCCTCACCTGCTTGAAAATTTTATGCTGTTGTTCTAAAACTATTTGATATGATCATCTAAATACTTCCTCCTAGGTCGTAACAGATTGTCTATAGGTAAGCCTACATCCCTGCCATCCCTGCCATATATCAAGTAATAAGGGGAAAATTTTGTCGTCTCGTTCATCGAGAATCTCACAGCTGCTAACGCTTGGGTTACGAATAAATCCCAATTTTCCCTATTATCCTCTGTTAGTTTAGCTAACACATCAGCGAGGGTCTTATGAAATCTCTCTACCTTAGAGTTACTTTGGGGGTGATATGGAGAGGTGGTTATGTGCTGTATGTTTAATTCTCCCAACGTCTCTCTCATAATCTGATTCACATTCTCCAATCCATTATCGGTAACCAACTGTTCGGGGGCCCCATACCTAGGGAATATTTCGTTCAGTATTATATCTGACACCGTTCGTGCTTTCTTATCCGGTATGGCAAATGCCTCAGGCCAATTTGTCAGCCAGTCCACAAAACTCACTATGTAAAGATTACCTCTATGTGTTTCTCCATAGGGCCCGAAAATATCCATGCTTACTTTCTGAAATGGCTAATTCGGAACATCTGTTTCTAGTACTAGGGCAACCCTACTCCCTTGACTCTGTACTTGGCATATTACACATTTTTTACATGGTTCACAACATCATTAAACAACTTAGGCCAGGAGTAATTTCTCATTATTAATCCATACGTCTTATCAATTCCCAGGTGTCCTAACCTCCTATGGCACTGGTCTAGAATTTCAGCTCTCAACTTCTCAGGTATCACCATTTTTAAACTTACTTCCTCACCTCTTCCTCAAAGGTAATACAACACTCCATTGTGCACCATATATTTGGAGGTACGCTGGACCTGATAGTTGCTATCTCGCTATCCTCTTGGTTTCGCCTAATAATATCTCTCCAGTGGGGGTCGGAAACAATCTTCGTTTCACTCGTTTCCTGATTTTCCCAACCAAATCTCTCCTTCAACGCCTTTTAATTGATCACATTAATTTGAAATGCTTTATCATCCACACCCGACAAATTCGGTCTCTAATTGCCTCGGAATCCTCCATAACAGGTCAGCACATGTATTATCCTTCCCTGCCAAATATTCTATTCTGCAGTTATACCCACTTAACTTCAATGCCCACTGTTGTATCTTCTTATTCGTCCACTCCGCCTCTAACAAATATTTGAGGGGTTTGTGGTCTGTTTTAATGGTAAACACAGTCCCACTCAAATAATAATCTAATTTCTGCACAAAGAATGGCGAACGCCTCTTTTTCTATTACTGGCCACCTTCGTTGAGTCTCGGAGAGCCGATGAGACAGAAAATAGATCGGCACTTCCTCAGGCACACCCGGTACTGGTCCATCCTTATCGGGACATGGTTGTGTAATAACCGCCCCGATGCACTTATCGCTATAGCATTGGTGTACCTGCACCATGGGCTTACTCAGGTCTGGGTAGGCCAACAGGGGTACAGCTGTCAGCTGGTCCTTTAGAGCCTCGAATGCACGCTGACAATCATCGATCCACTTAAACCTAGCATGCTTCTTAGTTAGAGCTATTAGACGGCCCGCTAGCTGGTGTGAACCTCCGATAATATCCGATGGCTCCAATAAATCCCCTAATCTCTCTTACGGTCTTCAGCACGGGCATGGCTCTTATAACCTCTACTTTGTCTAAATCCGTTTTTATTCCTTCTTTATGATAAACCCTAAGTATTGTTGACCATGTTCACCATAATCTATGGATATAGAATACAGCGCAGTACGTAATCTGTTCAATGAAACAACGTTAAAGATTAATACTCTCGAGTCAGATATTTTACTGAAACTGACTATATTGCCAATACCACCAGCAGCTATTGCGTAATTCTTCAGTCTTCGATATCAAAGGCTGGCAGTGATATTTAGCCACCCCCCGCACGAGAGTTATATGTGGCACAAGGCCGGGATTAACGTGGGATCTCCGAGCCCGTAGGCTCGCCAAAATTTTCCCTATTCGAACGCGTATAAACGGGTTCAGGTGCAGTCAACCTCCCCGAACGAGACTCTGCCCTTCGGCGGAGCCTCGTCCGGCTTATCAAAGGCTGGCAGTGAATATTCGGGAAAAACATGGCCGCCTTTATACACGTCGCATTGATTGGTTAACCCTTCTAACTATAAAATGAGTTAGCCCATTTTGGGTACATTATGGAATCTTCTGTCAAAATATTAGTAAAGTCAATATTCATATGGAACAAATACGTTAGAATTCATAAAATATATCTTTTTTGTTTTGTAATTAATTTTTTTTTTAAATTAATATCCACAAAAATTAGTTATATCATTTTGTCCACTGTTAAGTACTTCAGGTTAATAAACATTAATAACAATATTATAAATTTGGGTTGTGATCATAACAAAAAAGTGGAAAAAGTTGTTATTTTACCCATAGCTGGGACCCATTAAAACAGTCACTATTGGGTCAGAGTGATTCTGAGAAAAATAGCCTCAAAATGGGCATTTTTTAAACTTTGCTGAAGCTTAATGTTGTAGAAGGAAAAACGATGCAGTGTTGGCTACCATAAAAAATATGTTATTTTACCCATAGCTGGGACCCATTAAAACAGTCACTATCACTCTGTGTCAAAGTGATCCTGAGAGCCATTCAGAGGAGGGTTGGGCTAAAAGTAGGACTATTTACGTTTATACCCCGAAACTAAGGACTCACATTCATACCAAAAACTGACATCTCTTAAGACAATAACTAATTTACGTCTTACCCAGGACTAATGAGGACCTTGGAGAGACTTAATGGATGCAGTTTTACGTCCTGCCCAGGACTAATAAGGACCTTATAGGTCAGTACCAAATATGACAGGAATTAAATCCCCTAATTTCAATTTTGTAATTGGCTTTGTAAAAAACGAGCCTTATACACTGGCGATCCATCCTCATTTCGCTTTATAGTATAAACCCAACGGCTGCCGATAATATTTTTATCATCCGGGACCTTTTTCAATTCAAAAGTATCATTTGATACTAGGGATTCAATTTCTTTTTGCATGGCGGCTATCCATAGTTTGGAATTATCAGAATTTATGGCTTCTTGATAGTTCTTCGGGATACATTGCACCGAATAGCAACAGTCAATGTCACAGATATTACATTGACCCATTCCCAAATAGTCTGGCTTTCTTCTATTTCTGGTCGAATAACGTGGAATTTGTCCCCACTCTTTGTTTGTATCCTCTTCTAACTCAAGGTTTGCGTCTGATTTTTCCTCGTCTATATCATCTGGTATAACACCTTCCTTTAATTGTGGATTTTGAACGGGTTTTCTATTTATAGGCCCTGTTAGAGATGGATCGTCTCCCCTTTACCACTCCCTCTCACTACCACAGGGACAGTGGCCCTTAGCCAATCAGCATCAAGTTTGTTTAACCACTACTAACACGACAGTTGCAATAAAGATGTCTTAACGTTCACGTGTTCTTGTTAGTCTTATATCAATATGTCTTATCCTACATATATATACCCACACAATATAAAATGGTGTCAGAAAGAGTTTAAGAACCAAAAGCGCTCACAATAGACAAACGAAAAAAAAATAAGAAGAAAATGGAATCTCTACCACATCCAAAGGAGCTAAATCAGTTCCAAATATTTCTACAAGCAACGGAGGCTGACGCAAAACCAGAAAAGGTAAAAACCTCAATTTTGTTAACTTGCATAGGGGATAGAGGTAGGAATGTGTATTCCACGTTCAATTTTGAAAATGAAGAGGAAAAATATAACTTGGAAACAGTAATTGAAAAATTCAACACATATTGTCAACCAAGAAAAAACTTAACGTTCCTAACATATCAATTTTTAACTTGCAAACAAAAGGAACAACAAAGGTTTGACGAATATGTAACAGAACTCCGGCAAAAGGCCAATAAGTGTGAATTCGGGCAACTCACAAATAGACTTATAAAGGACATACTTGTATTTGGAATAAAAGACAAAATGCTACGTGAAAGGATGTTGAGGGAACCGTCCCTAGACTTACAGAAAGCCATACAAGCAGGCCTCAGCGCCGAAGAAACTAAAAAACATTCTAAGATAATGGCTATGTCAGAGACAGAAAACATATCGATAATTAAAGAAAAAAGACAGAACACCACAAAAAGCAAGACGGCGAGGCAAGAAAACAAAACTCAATATTGGATAGAACGGTGCACCTATTGCTCAAAGGCACATAATAAAAAATAACTGCCCTGCTTTTAACAAAAACTGCAATAAATGTGGGAAAAAAGGACATTTTGCTAAAATGTGTAAAACTAGAATGAAAAAATTATATAAAGTGAAAAAGTTCACCAGCAGCAGCAGCACTGAAAATTCGGACCACGAGGTGTACGAAATGAATACCGTCCACACAAAAAACATAAAAACAATTAAGACTGACAGATGGAGTGTAAAACTCGAAGCTAACGAGTCAACAATATATTTTAAAATAGACACAGCGGCAGAAATAAACGTTTTGCCAGTAGAAATATATAATAAAATAAAGCCTAAGCCGAAATTAAATAAAACATCGGTAAAATTAACCGCATACAACGGTAAAAAAAATTCTTGTCAGTCTTATATCGATATGTCTTACCCTACATATATACCCACACAATATAAAAGGCCCTATCCCATAATTAGGCCATACTAGTTCGTGTTGGACCAGTTCCTCGCAGTTAATGTTCTTTTCTTCGGGATCCTCCACTTGCTCAAAGGAATCTGTAAATCTGACGCATCTGATCTTCCTTATTATTTTACTTTGTGGGAAATAAATCATATAGGCTGGACTTGTCTTGTCATACCCAATAAATATGCCTCTTTCACTTTTTGGATCTAGTTTTGCCCTGTGGTCGGCATATGTGTAGCAAATTGTACCAAAAATATGCATACCACTTACATTGGGTTTGTAGTTCGTATAAGCTTTGTAAGGAGTCTTTTTAATGTTACTATTATAGCAACGGTTTCTTATATATGGCTGTATTTAATGCATAAACCCACAGATTTTGGGGTAAGTTAGATTCTATTAGCAAACATCTAGCCATTTCGAAAAGCATCTGCCAACTACGTTCAGCGATTCTGTTCTGGTGCGGAGAATAAGGACAAGTTTTCTCATGTTTAATGCCTTCATTTATTAGGAGGTTTTCGTAATCATCAGAAGTAAATTCTCCACCATTATCTGTTCTAATTATTTACACTTTTCCATAAGGGGAGATATCAGATAAATACATTCTTGTAGCTTGTGGGGTATCAGATTTGTCTTTCAAAAAATATATCATAATAAGTCCTGAATATTCGTCAACAAAGTTTAATACATATGAATAGGTGCCAATAACCATTGGTGAAATTGGACAAGATATCTGTTGATTTTGGGATTTGATCCCTATTTCTATATTTCGTCATTTTCCCTTTAATACATGTGTCATAATGTTGTAAGCCCTTTGGAGATGTAATTGTCATTCCAGTGACGTGTTCTTGCAATCTTTTAACATCCGAATTATTACAGCGGCCTAATATTTTATGCCAAGTCCTTCAGTCGTGTGTGGCTGTTTTTACAGATTTAATACTTTTCAAATAATACAAACGTCCATTTTGTTGTATATTAAATTCAGTTCCGTCTGGGTATATTAGCTTTGAATTGTCTCGGTGAAAATTAACTTTAACACCAGTTCTAACATCAGACTGAACCGAGAAAATATTTTGTTTAAATTTAGGGATATATAAAGCCCTTTTTAATAAACATTTACAAATATTTCTTTTAGTATCGCGTAAATAAATACAGGCATCGCCTCTTTTTAAAACTAAATTATTAGTTCTGGTACCGTCAGCCAACTCAATAAAGTGGGAATCTGGCTCGAAGTTGGGGTCAAAATTAATAAATTTTGTTTCATCTGTAATTACATGATTTGTCGCACCCGTGTCGACTAGGTAAGAATTATAAGTATTGGGTATAGTATTCAACCCAAACGAAAAAGCATATGTTCGCTCATTCGAAAAAGCTTTTACATTTTTACAAAAATCACTCCTTGTATAAAATTGACATTTCGCACGTACATGCCCGGCTATTCCACAACGAAAGCAGATGATATTTGATTTTCTATTATTATTGTTCCTATTGTTGTTGTTGTTGTAATAGTTGTTTTTAAGTCCCTTGTTCTTAATATCATAATTCCTAGTCTGGTAGGTTTGCGAGAATCGTTTTCTGAATTTTTTAAATGACGTTCTCAGTTGCATTACGTTATTTCCTTGGTTTAGGGGATTACACATTATTTCAGTTTCTTCATAACTACGTAATGCAATTTTAAACTCAGTGAAAGTTAATTTTTTATCTTTTTGAGTTATGACTGTCGTGAATGGCTTGAATGTTGCTGGTAATCCATTTAAAATCATGGCTATTAGCATAGTCTCACCTGCCATTTTTAAGGCATTGTCAGCTCGTATAATATAACCTGTTACAGATTCATTTTCTCGTCTACTTAATGAGGTTAGTTCAGTATATAAAGCAATAATTTTGGGCTTACCTTTTGACAAGTAATGTTCACGCAATATTCTTAAAGCTTGACGTCCGTTGTCCCTGGCTTCTCTCATTATTAAAGACAAACTTCTGTTATCCAGGCATTGTATTAATTCGGCGAACACGATCGCATTTCTTTCCATAAAATCATCATCTTCTTTCTGGTAATCTTGGCAAAGAATGATGTCATGAAGTTTTTGTATTCTAAGCTAGCCTAGGAATTTGATTTCCTATAATTCGTATTTTGACTCGTCTCCGTCAAAATATAGTCGTAATCTGGGCTCGTAACCTTTGTTAACCATGTTCACCATAGTCTATGAATATAGAATACAGCGCAGTACATAATCTGTTCAATAAAACAACGTTAAAGATTAATACTCACGAGTCAGACACTCTACTGAATCCGCCTATATCGCCAATACCACCAGCAGCTTCAGTCTTCGATATCAAAGGCTGCCAGTGAATATTCGGGAAAAACATGGCTGCCTTTATACACGTCGCATTGAATATTTTGAGCCTTCTGGTAGGTTAACCCTTCTATTGGTAAACTATAAAATGAGTTAGCCCATTTTGGCTGGCTCACTAGTACATCAGTGTACCCCACAAGTCATTTGTTTGTTTTGTGTTTTTTTTTTTGAGTGTGTTGGACGAGCATATTAACGAACGAAATGTTAAGTTTTTGAATTTTGATTTTCTAAAACTCTTTGGAATTTTTCAGTTTTTCTTTTCTGTTTATTTGTTCACATATTTGAGCATTTTGTTCCGTTCTCTTTGTTCATTTACTTCCTTTACTGTATTTTTACCCTCCCCACGGTTTTTTGTTTACATTACATTTTTTGTTTTATTTGAATTGTTTATTGTCTTTAGTTGTCCACGTTTTTCTTTCCTTTTCCTTTTATTTTGTTTGTACTGGACATTGTTTCCGTTGTTGGAATAATTTAAAAAAAAAAAAAGAGGAAAAAGAAAGCAACTGGTCGGTCGTGGTGGTCGTTTGGGCCCATCATGAGCGACGATAATATTTCCGACACAACACCGCCGGTGTCCTCTGTAAAAAGTGCCTGGAGTGAGGATAGACCTAGGAAAAAATGCCGAGTACTATGAAGAACAGAGGGATAAATTTAAGGATACGTTCAAGGAAAATGAATTCCTTACGATAGAGGAGGCATTTAAGGCCGTAAAGACGAGAACAGTATCCCTGCTGACTTCCGACATAAAAAGCCAGAAATTAACTGGAGTCAGCAGGGAAACAATGGAAGAGGTTTTGAAGACTTTGAAAATTACCCCAAAGGTGCTGGCAAGAAGATCAAATGCCATGTGGGATATTCTTCTTCCAACAGAGCAGGAGGCCAAGCAAATGGCTGGTACTATTCTAACGACCAAGAACCTCAGGTTATAAACGGAGTACATGGGCACCCGTAAGACAAGGATTACCGTCCATGGGGTGCCCGTGGACGTAACCTAAGATAGAATGGGAGCATTCTTCTCAAAGTTTGGCAGGGTCGAGGAGGTGAAGGCAATAGTTGGAAAATCGGGGATTGCAACGGGCGACATTGAGTTGCAAGTCACGTTAACACGATCAAGCTTTGCAGTTATCCCTAATATCCTACTGTGTAGAGAAAGGAGGATGTTGATAATGGTGGAGGGCAGAAGGCTATACTGTTGGTCCTGCGGTATATCTGGCCACATGGCTAAAGAGTGCCCCGCTAAACGTCCTCTGCCTACAAATCAGCCCACACCAGCAAAAACAGCAGCAGCAGTAGTCGCAACACCCCCGGCAGAAGAAGTAGCCCAAAAAGACACCGATGGTGCCTGGAAAGTGGTAGGAGGTGGCAAAAAATAAAGAATGTGCCCCCCACCC